AGTTGCTGTTTGTCTCTTGGTGGAAATGTGCAGGTTGTTGTCATGTTGCGTGTATGTTTCCCCCAGCATGGCAAGTAACAGTTCTCATGGGATGCTTGAGGTTTGAAAAGTGCATCTGGAGGGCAGGCTTAAACTCTCATTCCTTGTGCCATGGCCCCAAGTTGAATCAGAGGTCCCTAAGTTGCTGCGTTTAGTATGGACCTCTTTGGCTTTGACAGACAGACTTTCTAGGGAATCATAATTCTAGTATTTTCCACACAGGGGTAGGCTTGAGTGGCTTCCCTGTTGCTGTTGTGGCTACCAGTATAGTGCAGCAGCAATGCTGCTTCTGCATGACAGGTTTCCCTGAATTCTCCCAGTCACAGTTTCCCCTGAAGCAGTTGTTCCCTCTGTGCCACAGGGGGTGGGAGTTGGTTTTTCTTCCAAAAACCAGCAGTTAGCATTATAACATTATAAAAACCTTTCAGCTTCCCTGTATTCACAGCTTTCATGTAAAATAAAATAAGTCTCTAAATCTCCATTTTCATTGTGGAAATAGGAGCATGGAAACCAGGGGAAACAACCCATGTCTAAGTGACTTCTGCCACACTGTTCTTAAGTATAGAAAAAAGCATATAGGCCATAGACAGGGCTTTGTGTTGTTCTTCCAGATACACAGATGTTGCAATTTACTGGGCACCGATGCTATCATGGCAGAACATCTGACTTAAAACAGACTGAGCTGATAAATTAATAGATGGGTTGTATTTGACGGTGTGGAGATGGGAACAGAGCTTGGCCGCCAAGGCTGAAACCAATCCAAAATCAAGGAAGAAATCATACATTTACCATTAATTATGTTGTCAAACCACCAGATGGGGAAGAAGGGCGGCCAGGGTTACTGAACTGATCCTCAAAAACCATCTGTTGCATTCCCCATTCCAGCTCTTCACTGATCCACCGGCTGGTGTTGCCACGCCAACCCAGCCTTCAAAATGGCTCCACCTCCTGTCCATCTCCCAGAGCAATGCTGCCAGCCTCTCCCCAGCTCTGTGTTGCCCCTTCTGTTCATGCAGATGTAATTTCAGCATCAACGTGTTCTTACTGAGGAGGAGAAAAAGCTAGTTATCAAATGTTAACTATCAGTGCAGTAGCCATGTGTGGGGCAGAAGTTTTCATTAATCGAAGGAAAATAAGACCTCACTCAGGGGTCTTCCGGACTGCAGCTGCCTTATGTGTGGTTAGCACAGGCAAGAACACAGAGATGGAGCCAAGAAACATGTGGAAGGTGAAATTCATGTATTAATTAGAAATCACTCTACAAAGCTTTGACAAGTGCTCGTGTTGTTCCTATTAAATGGGGACAAATCCTTTTTAAACAGTGGCTTTGTACTGCCTTATATCCTAGGGGTCATGTCAGTCAAATATTTGGGGGCACGACGTCTACCTGATGAAAAGAACATTCACACTCTTCACTGTGTTTGACATCCGGCTAGTTTGACGGGAGTTAAAGCTGATGGGAATTTTAATTTGTTATTTATTGAGCTGCTGTGTATTCCTGGGCCAGGTGCCAGGTCTCAGTTACTCAGAGTGTTCAGGAATATGGCATTTTAATTGTTCATAATTCATTTAATTCCTCTTGGGCAAGGCTGGCTTTCAGAAGACCGAGTGGTCCAGGATCTAGATTGGCTGAGCTCATATGCTAAATAGATGCTGTCTCTTAGTGCAAAGTAATGACAAAGAGACTCGGCCAGATAAAGAATTCCAGACCTGTCTCTTTCACATTCTTTGTAACGCCTAGATAAAAACAATGCATGCTGTGACTTCATTGCATTGTCCATTGCTATGCCTCCCTGGTCAGCAGCCAATAAGGTGAGGCAGGGAGGGGATAAGGTTGCCAAGTTCCAGGTGGGGGCTGAACGTCTCCCCGGATTACAACTGATCTCCAGATTACAGAGATCAGTTCCCCTGGAGAAAAATGGCAGCTCTGGAGGGTGGACTCTATGGCATCCCATCTCTGCTGAGCTCCCTTGCGTCCCCAATCTCCACCATTCCCAGGCTGTACCCCCAACTCTCCAGGAATTTCCCAACCTGGAGTCGGCAACCCTACACAGGGAAGGCACAGGACAGTGAGAAGAGAGCCATCCCTCTCCAACGTCTGGTACAGTTTAGCCAGAGCTATGAGTCCCTGGCTGAAATCTCGCCTCTGCCACACCTTAGCCTCACCTTTCCTTCAACCGCAGTGTGGGGGTGTCAGCGCTGACCTGCCTTCCCAGGGTGTTGTGAAGTACGCTGACCACATAAAAAGCACTATATTGTTACTAATTGGTCCCAGAGCAAATGGTTGGTTGCAAACAATGTGCAAAGATTGCAAGAAATGGACCAACTGGAGCAGGGGTCCCCAACCTTTTTTGAGCCTGTGGCACCTTTCAGATTCTGATACAGGGTATCGAAACGATGAAATGGCTGCCGCAGAAGTTGGAGCCACATGCACAGAGGAAGCCCAAGGGCAGGGGAGAAGAGGAGTCATTCAAAATACACTGGGAAGAGGGATGAGAAGGAACAGAACACTGTGATGGCAGGCAGCTGACATGCAGACAAAGTTATTTTATTCTGCAAGGCCAATCAGATCTTCAGTGGCAAATCAGAAACCCTGCTGGGCAAGATCCCCACCTGGGCCCATCTACTTTCTAGAAAAACTTGGTGGGTGGTCAAGAAAGGGAAGGCAGCACATTGGGGGACCCTGGAACCAGAGGTTATGCACAAAACTGGGATTTGTCACTTGCATCTAGTAAAATATCCAGAGCTCTAAATGCAGCTCCTGACTCAAGAAGCATGACTTAATGATTTTGGCCATGCAGTCTTGTTATGATGTGCACCTCTAAAACTACTGACCCAAAATTGCTCAGTGCCCCTGCCTTTATTGTGTGTTTTTTTTCTTGTGCAAGAGAGAGAGAGAGAGAGAGAGAGAGAGAGAGAAGAGAGAGAGAAATACCTTAGATTTGCATTATGAATCAATTAAAGTATTTGTACCCCACATTCCCATTTAACATACCTGAGGCAATTTGCATCACTATTAAAAAAACCTATATCAGGGGAAATGAAACTGCAACATACGAAGCACTCAAGCAGCGGGAATCTATGTCAGAAAAACTAGAACAGAAGGAGTCCAGAAGCAAATTGTATGCTAAAATTGATAAATCCAAGAGCCTCCCCCAACCCCCCCCCGAAATAGCAGTGTAATCAATACAATACGTTAATATTAATTGTGTGCAGTCAAGCCACCACTGACTCAAGGCAAGAGATGAACAGAGCGGATTTGCCTTTGCCTTCCTCTGCATAGTGGCCCTGGACTTCCTTGGTGGTCTCCCAGCCTAATACCAGCCAGGGCTGAACCTGCTTAGCTTCTGAGATCTGACAAGATTGGGCTAGCCTGGGCTGTTCAAGCTGCTATAGAATGTGGGCTTCCGGTCTGGCTCCCGCGAAAGGCAGACGCATCCTCGGGTCGCTCCCGAGGGCGCCTTGCCCGCCCGCGGTGGAGGAGGGAATCCGCGCAAGCGGAGACCCGAACGAGCCCCTCAGATGAGAGGAGCTCGGATCCGGGGCGCTTTAGGGCGTTCCAGGGGGGAGTCTCTCTTTCGGTCGAAAGATCGGAGATTGAGACTCTCGCCATGCCCTGCCCCTTTGGACCTTGCTGCGTGAGCGACCCCGTTCTACGGGGTTTAGCGGAACCACCGGGCGTCACCGAGTGATGAAGCGAAAAAAAAATGGAAAAGAAAAGACTGGCGTAACTGTGAGTTGTCAAAATACAGAGAAAATGAACTAAGAACCTTTTCCCCCCCCCCTTCAGCGGAAAATGAGGAGATTAATCCTCTATAAGCGAGAAAGAAAAAAAAAGAAAAGAGGGGGGGAATGGACTGAGCGAATAGTGATGTTTTCCTTTGATGTACTTGAAAATAAGCAAGAGGTTTTGTTTCCCTGGAGCGCATTTTAAAAACTTTACTAAAAATAAAAAACAAGATGTCGGAGCTGGGTAAAGACAAGCGGAGAAGGGAGGGACTTCCGTCTGGGCGTTTGTGTCAACGTGAGTGCCGGCTGTTTAATATTTGGACTGTGTATGGCTATGAATCCAACGGGGATTGTGAAGGAAAAGAAAAGCTTGAATTGTGACAGCGAAAAGTGCCTCATGAGCGCTTATAAAAGTCAACAATTGAAGAGGAGAATCCAGCGAAGAGATTGGGAGCGATAAAAGCGAAATTGAAATTAATACCATTCTCAAAGCTGGAGATCTCCGGGCATGGCATGAAAGGAAGACAGCTTACAGCACAGGAACTGAAAGAGTTAACAGCGACCCGAAGGAGGAGGGGAAGAAGCCGGAGGCAAGAGAAAAACAGAGGAAGCCCCTCCCGTCACTGAGAGGGGAAAAGTAACCAGCGCGTTAAAGAAGCGGTTCTGAATGTGCCTTGAAGAGACTTTTTAACAGAAATTCAAAGGAACATTACTAACAAATTAACATAGAAAGTAACTGGAATGGAAAAAAGATGTTTGACAACACGCAGAAGAAGCCTTTGATGATTGGACATTACTAACAGTTTAATCTAACAGTTAATACATCACTCAGCTTTCTCTTCCTCCCACTATATACCCTCCTTATCTTTCTTTTTAAGCGAAACTCCTCCCCTTTTTAGGGGAGTCAATAAAATCTTTATACAAAAAAAAGCTGCTATAGAATGCATTAGCAGCAATTCAGGCAAGAGAAAACAAATCACATACACATGGCAGCAAAATGTCTGCAATTCCCAGACCATTTGAGGCTTTCAAGATAAGAACCAACCTTTTGAGTTGTGACCTGAAACAAATTGGTAAGTAACTTACTGAAATTTCCAAGCAGTTTTCAGAGGCTGTCCCACGAAGAGTGTGTCACATTTACCTTTACAGGAATGGAAAGTTTCAAGAGTTATTTATTTCTTTTTTAAAAAATCTGCTGTGAATTCACCATCCCATTTCTGTCTCCTTTCTAGGAAACGTGGTACTGGCAGGGAGACGGCAGCTCTGACCAAGTTGTCATGAGTGGGGTGAAGTGTTCTGGGACAGAAATGGCTCTCTCACATTGTAGGCATCACACTCATGTCAACTGTCCCAAGGGAGGGGGACGCTATGCGGCTGGTGTTTCCTGCACGGAGGGTAAGTCATGGGAATCTTGTTTTTCATTAAGTTGGGACGACACCCAAGACAGAGGCAGGCCATTTTGTGTGATCATAAGGCCGATTCCCATGTGACCACCATGAGGACTTTGAGTCAGACGTGCACCTGGAGTTCTGCTCTGGGAACTTAATTCCCAAATGCACATGGGCCTAATTCAGCTTGGGACCACTGGCCAATGAACAAAGAAAGGGGGCTTCACCACCATTTTCCTGACATGAACTAGCACCAGGAGGCTGTTCCCAACACTGCCATACTCCCAGGAGCATGGTGGTGGGCACCCCTGGACTCTCATCCCTCCGGGCCCTGCCAAGCCTATTCACTCCAGTAGGAGCAAGGGGCAAGGAGTGGTATCACGACACTCTGGGAATCTGCACATCTGTATGATAAAAACCATAGAGATGAGCAAATTCCTAGAGGATCTTGATGACACTTCCAGGCACAAACTGGAAGTGCTGTCAGTGCCATCACAAGAAGTGAGGCCTCAGTGTCATATCCAGTCCCACCTTGCCCCTCCCCTTGCTCCCACTGGTTGCCATTGCTCTACTAGCAACCCGAGGTCTCAAGCAGCAGTTGGGAAAGACCTATCTCTGCCTGAAAGACCTTTATCTGCAAGAGTCCAATCTGTCAACCAGATACCTAGCTAGATGGACCAAGGAACTGTTTTGGTATAAGGCAGCTTCATATTGGGATGCGATTCCTGACATTAATTCCATATTGTCTATCTTGTTTCCTTGAAATGTTAATGACACAGAGTGCATAGTAGCTTGTTATGACTTATGCCTAAAACATACATTGGACAGAACTGAACTTTTGTTCAGGTTCTCTTCCTCTGAACCTGGCAATCTTTTTGTTCTTCTCTCACTGGCAATCTTTTTGTTCTTCTCTCACCACATTCCACATTAATCAATCCAGAATGTAATTCTGATGTGTAAAAAGAACATGCACGTATACCCCATTTTCTCCCCACAGTAATATGAGTTATGAACTTCAGATTATCAGTAATGGTCATTTTATATTATTCCAGTTCCAGGCACGTTCCAGGCAGCTGAAAGCCATATCAGAATGCAAAATATTGTTCCCCTGCTGTGACACCAGTAAATCATCAGCCCTCACTGGAAGCCGCTCCAGCAAATGTCGCTGTTGAGAGAGGCTGGCCTAAAATCCCGTGCTTTGGAGCAGCCGATTCCTAAAGATGTTTGTTTCGGTTTTCTTTCCTTGCCTCCAGCCGCCGCTGACCTCTATGTCAATGCCAAGGAGGTGGAGTACACATCATACCTTGAAGACCGTCCAATGTACATGCTGCAGTGCGCACTTGAGGAGAACTGCCTGGCCTCCACGGCTGTCAACACATCTGTTACCACCGGTTACAGGAGGCTTCTGCGTTTCTCCTCCCAGATTCACAACGTCGGGCAGGCAGACTTCCGCCCTAGACACGGGCGCCATGCCTGGATTTGGCACGAATGTCACAGGCAAGCATTTGGCCTTCCCCTTCAGTGTTGTAGACTGTAAAAAAGGCAGATAGAATCCAGGTATTACCTAGAGTATTACCAATTGAGGGACTAAAGGAGAGCAATAAACACACAGGTAGAGTTTTGTACTGCTAGATTATAGAGGTTCATTTATTGAGTTTACTGAGGTATATAGACTTGCAGCTGCCGGAGTCTTCCAGAAAACTGGCCTGGACAGCAGACTTGGGGATCCCCTGGAAGTATTATTGACTCTCATTGCATCTACAACACATGGTGCAAATACAAGTTTTCTCTACCACCCACTGGGTGAAAGATCACTATGCCTCTTGAGCCATTCTGCCCACTGCTGCAATAGCAATTAACCAATCATAAGGAATATATCCCTTCTCTTAACAGGGATAAGTTCCAGGTAGAATATTATGCAAACATGGTAAGCCTGGTGATAGAACCATCTTCTCATGTTACAGAAACCATCCCCTCATGTTAAGATGATCTTAGTCATTATTTTATTATTAGTTGCAGAGTATTCTAGTGCTGTTCTCATTTCGGTTTCCAGTTGGCCACTGATGAGAGACTGGGGGGGGGGACACTGGGGGGGGCATCATTGGAACATTGGTGTAACATCACTTCCAGAACAAACCAGGAAGTGACATAATTGCATCAACATGACACCTTAGAGTTTGCATCTAGGATTTCAAGTTTACCCCAGAAGTGATATCATATTGTGACAGTTATTTTTGACGCATCTCTACTGAGTTTCTTTCCCGCACTAAATGCTGCCCTTCCAATGGTCTGCCCCCAAATATCCAGGAACTTTCCAATTTGGAGTTGGTAACCCTAATTATGATCTGTCAGGTGCTAGACAATTAGCCAGCCACTATATTTGTTGCAGTCGTAAGCAGCCTGCAAGTGCAGGCGCTTTGCCAAGGCCCTGGTAAGCTGCCAAGCTTGGCTGGTGGGCCACATTCGGCTGGGTGGATCACAAGTTCTCCAGGGCTGTCCTAGTTTAATTCCACAGATTACCAAAAACCGGGTCACATCACAGCCTGGTTACAAAGGGCTGAGCCCTCTGACATTTCCGAATAGGCCATGTTTAAGTGAGCCTGCCTGTGTATTTAACAGGTCTCTGTTTGCACAGAGGACTACGGACTCAATTCCTCTTCAGAATTTCCAGTCTGTAAACACTGTAGCATAAACACCTTTTTGAATGATACAGACATATTTTAGGAACGCGGTCAGACCTGAAGTTTAATCTTTTTTTTTTTTTTTGCTCTGGAAATAACCCGACCAGCCAACTTCAAAGTAAATAGTTTGGAAGCCTCAAAATGCCTCCTCTTCCTCCTCCCTCTCCAACGGTCTCACTATTAACTGTGTGCTTCTGTTCAGGACACGGAAGCAAGGCGGGGTGGGGGAAGGAAGGAATGGGGAAAGCCATTTAACAGGCAGGTAAAGGTAAATGAAGAGCACCTGGAAGAAATTTTTAATCACAGTGATTTTTTTGGATCTTGTATTCCTTTAGGAGAAAAAATGCCTTGTTCCTCACCTTATGTCAACACGATTTTAACGAGGATAAATACATTGGTATATTAGGCATTGCTACCTGATCCCCAGTGTCAGATGTTTCCTGTTAAGCCACAATTTATTTTTGCAGATGAAAAGGGGGCTTACTTTTCAGTCGCTTGGTTTCCCTTAGCTAAACTGGGAAGTGTTTGTTTTGTTGGCGGAATCCTATGCTTGGTTTTCCATGTACATACATAGCAGAACAGAAATCGGGCACTGCTTAGGAGAAGGGCTTACTGCCATGAACTGGCAGAGTGGCTAGAGGGTTGAGTGTAGTTATGGGAGATCTGCTACCAATCCCTGGTCAGCTGTGTCCCTGGAAACGTCCTAATCTCTCAGGCTAGCCCATTTCACATGATTGTTGTAAGGCACAAAAGCCATGTAGGCTTTTCAGAGTAAGGCATTTGTAACAAAGAGTGTCATTCAGATGTCCAGAATCACCATATTTTCCTTTTCTAGAACAAAGTATGCCATTACTAGCATCCATAAAAATTATAATTAGGAATGCCAGGCCCATACCCGCACTATCTGGGGGCTGTTTTGGGACAGGGCGAGGAAGGTGACAGAGCCACACAGCCAATCCCTGAAACACTCTAGGAATCCCCAAAATTCTAGAATGTTGCAAGGGGAGGGGGTCACTTCTGGGTCTGTGCCGGGGAAGCGATGTGGAAACATCAGCGACATTGTTCCCCCTCCCCCCATTTCCTCCTCCTGCTGCTGCTGTTGAACAGAGGGAGGGCAGGGGCAGGAATTCCCACACCCTCAGTGGACACCTAGCAGTCCTAATTATAATACTTGGATTAAGCACATCTGTAGTGCTTCCTTCCTCCAAAGACCACAAAGCTAATTCTTTCTCAGACTACCAAACTACGCTTTCCAGAATTTGCAGGCAGCCATGATTGCTAAACTGCTATAAAACGAATGCCATGTTGTGACTTCTTTCAGGGTGTAGAAGCCGTGGCTATTCTATGCCTGAGGTATAATCGTTTGTGGTTTGATACTCAGTAAGGTGCTCCCCCTCCCATGAAACTCCCTCCCAAATGGCACCCCCATGTGGCAAAGAAGAGCAACAAGATGCCAAACTATCAAGTGTATGGTTACCAACCTCCAAGTGGGGCCTGGAGTTCTCCCAAAATTACAACTGACCTCCAGACTACACTTTTCAGTTCCCATGGAGGAAATGACAGCTTCCGGTGGCAGTCTCTGCTGAGCACCTCCCTCCTCCCCAGGCATTGCCCCCAAATCTCCACCAATTTCCCACACCACAGCTCACCCGACTGTGTCTGGTGAAGATCACATGCAGTGTCATGGACCCCAGTTTCCAGCTTTATACAACCATTTACCTATATGGACTAGCAAAGTGATTTTTGTATTTATTAATTTGCAGAAACTGTGCAGCTTGATCTTATAAAGGAACTTGACACATATTCAATTGCTTAGCACTGATTTGCTGACAAATCCCATTTTTGAACCAGACTGGGCACACAGTAGGCCAAATGCACTTTGGACCCATTCGCCTGCAGCCTTTGACCAAGTGACACATCCAACCCAAGTGGTCTCCCTCTGGTCAGCAGCCCTTGATCCCCCCACAGCAACTTGGTAGGGTGGCAGGGGGGGAATGTACCAAAAATTGCTGTCACTCTGATGGCATAACATCACTTCTGGAGCAAACCTGGAGGTGGCATCATTGTGTTAATGTGATGCTGTACAATTCATCAGAATTTCCAGTGAATTCTAGTGCATCGCATCAATGCAGTGATGTCACTTCTAGGCTCACCCCGGATGTGGTGTCATGCTGTTGGAGCTATGGCACCCCCATTCTCCCCCGCATCTCCTGGGATCCATCCAGTGGCTGGCAACCCTGAGTCCTGGACTAGAATATTCCCAAGACTTGAGCAAGCAGTGAGCAGATATAGGCCTGGTTGACCTTACCCATAGTGTTTTGCATTAACTCAGTCATCCCTTTGTTTAGGACAGAGTGACGTGGACACCTGGATGCAATAGCCACAGCTGTTGTTAATTTCCTGCCTTTAACATTGCAAATTGGACTTTTGTTAGAAAATTCCCACGAATCGGGTACATTCTGATCTCTTTGGTGGCTTGTTGGAAAAAGGGTGATGGAGATAAATAATTACTTGGAGAAGGTTGGGAAAGGTTGATAAGGAAAGGTTGCTAAGGACCTCCAACCAGTGTTTTAGGGGCCATTGACTTTTAATTAGGGATTGGCATGAACTGAACCAGGAAGCAAAATTCATCATGAATTTTGCCCTGTTCGTGGTTCGCAAACTGAAGTTCATGATGGGTCTACCATCACAAACTTCCACGAACTTTTAAAGCAGTTCATGGCCGTTCATGGATTGAGCAGAAGGCAGCAGTTGCCTTCTGCTCAATCCATGAACTGCCATGAACTGCTTTAAAAGTTCGTGGAAGTTCATGATGTTTAAAGTGGCTCTGAGTCCCTTTAAACCTCTGCTTTCTTTCCCCCACAAAAGCTGCAAAAATAGCTGAGTGGCGGGGAGCAGCCAGAGTTACTGACAGCCCTAGAGTAGCCCCTCGCTGGCAATGTTCAGGACAAGGCTGTAAATGGTGATTTGGGTTTTTGGTGTTTCTAGGTAACAACACTGTGGATTTTTTAAAGGCAGCCTGACGCCTGCTTTCCTTAATCAAGACATTGGCTTCCCTTCTGTCTCACAGGCATTACCACAGCATGGAGGTGTTCACACATTACGATCTGCTAGATCTCAATGGCACCAAAGTGGCTGAAGGAAACAAGGCCAGTTTTTGCCTGGAAGACAGTGAGTGTGCACCTGGTACGTACATTTCTGCATGCCCCACTGGCTGGGATTGCAGTTGATTTGTTTCAATGCTGTAACATTTTGCACAAGTGTAGGAAAGCACATGGAAGGACCAAAGTACCAGGCCTTCTGTGGACTTAATTCTTTATATTCCATGGTGTAGCAGCAGGGGATTTGAAAGACCCAGTTTTCCGATACAAATCTGCCCGACGAGATTATCATCAGAAGCCTTTCTCCAGTTATCCCCAACATCAGAAGTAAGGAATGGATCTACTGTAGACAGTGCCTTTTTAGTGATTGCACCCTTCTTACAGAACTCCCACCCAAAGGATGTTTTCCTGGCACCATAGGCATGCGACAAAATCTTTTCTATTTACATGTGTCTTTGGAAGTTATTGGAGCTGCGGTGGCTCAAGTGGTTAAGACACTGAACTGCAGGCTGTGGAAGGTCAGTAGTTCAGCAGTTCGAGACCCGGGTGCCGCATGACGGAGTGAGCTCCCATCTCTAGTTCCAGCTCCTGCCAAACTAGCAGTTCGAAAGCAAGACATTGCAAGTAGATAAATAGGTACCACTTCTGTGGGGAGGTAACAGCGTTCCGTGCGCCTTGGTGTTTAGTCATGCCGGCCACATGACCACGGAAACGTCTTTGGACAGCGCTGGCTCTTCGGAAATGAGCACCGCAACCCTAGAGTCGGATTCGACTGGCTTTCGAGCAAGGGAACCTTTACCTTTACCTTTGGAAGTTATATTGGAACATCATATAACTACAATCCGGTTTTCTATCAGTTCAATTTGGGAGTCTAGATTCATTTCTCCATTTTGTATTGGAGAAATTGTATTCTCAATTTGCCTGTTTCAACAATAGCTAGTTATCAAATCTATAGCCATGTTTATGGTCTGGAGCGTTTGTTGGTCCTACAAATGTGAGGGGACCCAGGGACTCTCTTGAGCAATTAACTCCGATACAAAGATCTGGGGTTTGCCTGATATACAAACAAGGGTTGTTCCCCTCCACCCCTTTTCGTGTTTGGAATGCCCCAAACTGTGTATACATGTGAATGCACACACTTCCTGAGTGGACAGAAAAATGGACTCCTTTCATTTGATAGTGGAGGAATCTTCTGCTGGAATTAATATAGGCACCCTTGTAGATAAGGGAGTTCTATTTACACCCACTTTCATTTAATAATATGGGGGCCATCAACTGTGCTATATCTTCCACATACTCCCTCCATGGTTTGTTTACTACATTTCCTCTGTCCCATTTCCTCTGTCATCTGTCCCTAATTATAGGACTCATAGTAACAGATGCCATGGCCTATGTTTAGCCTCACGGGACAAGTGATTAAGACTGCCAAAAAAATAGCACATGGGAACAAGTGAATGTCATTTGTTACACCACAGGTCTAATCCGAACAAGGACCCTGTTAAGATGCAACTTGTGGTGGAATTGTGAAAAAATATATAAGTTTTGGAAAAATGTAAATGATCTGATAACTGAAATGCTGCATATAAACCTACAATTATGTCCGGAGATTTATTTGTTAAATATTATTCCGAATGAACATAAAGGAAATAATTACTATATATTAACATATATGCTCACAGCGGCTAGAATTTTGATTGCTAAATACTGGAAGCAAGAAAAACTACCGAAAAGAAAGGAAATAGTCGAGAAATTAATGGAAGTCGCAGAAATGGACAAATTAACTCTTATCCTGCTTAGGAAAGATGATAAGGTGTTTAAGGAAAGATGGGCAGAATTTTACAAATGGTTAGAGTATAAAAATTTGTAATAGACTTACATAGAAGACATGTTCAAATATCAATGTAATGGTTGTATATTTATGAAAATATAAATAAATCTGTTAAAAAAAAAAGATGCAACTTGAAGTATTAAAAAAAAAAGCAGGGAGGGGGATACACTAAGGGAGAGCTATGTTTTGTGCATAACCAGTACAGTTGCAGATGCACATTTGGAAGCATGGTCACATCACAATGCTTGTCTAAGCCCCATTGAACTGGATGGCTACATTTGATCCGATTTTAGGATTGTGTGTGCCTAGGGTTGCCAGCTCTGGGTTGGGAAATACTTGGAGATTTTGGGGGTGGAGCCTGAAGAGAGTGGGATTTGGGGAGGGGAGGGACCTCAGCAGGGTATAATCCCATGGAGTCTACCTTCCAAAGCAGCCATTTCCTCCAGGTGAACTGATCTCTGTCATCTGGAGCTCAGTTGTAATCCCAAGAGATCTGCAGCTACCACCTGGAGCCTGGCAACCCTATGTATGCCCATCTGGAGCCTCTTAGTGATCCTTGCAAACTAGTTGCGTGCAATCAGAGCCTCAAGCTGCTTATGCAGACCAGAGGAGCAAGAATATCCCCTTGCAAGGCTGGTGAAAGAAACGTCTGATGCCAGCTAACCTGGGACATGATGGCGTTTGATGAACACTTGGAGAAGCCGGGCTGCAACAAGTATTATGCTTGGATGACTGCAGCTGTTCTCTTCCTTAAAGCTGAACAGACTGCCAAAGTCTTGGGAAAGGGCTTCTAGATGCAACACTGTGATTGATGTTCTCTTTGCATCCGCATCCCTTCCTTTTTTTAGGCATCCAGAGGCAGTATGGATGTGCCAATTTTGGGGAGCAAGGAATAACCGTTGGGTGCTATGACGTGTACCGGCATGATATTGACTGCCAGTGGATCGATGTGACAGATGTCCCACCAGGAGAATACATCTTCGTGGTTTGTTGTGATTCATCAAAATAATAGTTGACCTACACCTGCAGTGATCTTAGGGCAGTGATACCTAGGGTTGCCAACTGCCTGGAGTAAGATTGTCCTGCCCTTTTAATAGAGGCTTAATGAGATGTTCATTACCTGGGGATGTTGTTTACCTCCCTGCTATAAAAAGCTTCAGCTGCCCATTAAGCCCCTCTTAAAGGGACAGGGTGTTTTTTTCTCCAAGTCCATGGGCAAAACTAGTGATCCCCACCCTGGAACCTATAGGCACCACTGTGTTCCCTGGCACCTACTTCCTTCTTCCCCCCAACAATATATCAAGGGGTGACTCAGAAGAACCCAGGAGGCAGCACTTTTGTGTCTGCAAAAAGCACTAATTCAAAAAGAGATGCCTCCACCATAGCAAGATGCTTGACTAACAATCACCCGGTATTCTGTGACTGGCCCCAACACCCACAGCAGCCATTTTGTGGTTGGTTGTCCCTCAACCCATGGCAGCCATTTTGTGATGGAGAATCCATTCAGTGTTCTCAAAATCCCAAAAGTGCTCACATGCCAAACAAAATTAGGGGCTCTTGTCTAGGGAACTGAAAACTAAGGGCCAGTATATCCCATCAGCAGAATCAAGTGGTGAAGCTTTTATTCACACTGCAAGAGAGATGGGGGCACATTTGAATGCCCCCCTCCCCAAACCCTATAGGTGTTTTGCACTCTGTGAAGCAGCCACTAGATTACTTCTTTGTCCAAGAGACCACGATCTCTGTTTGTCAGTGCTTTAAAGAATCAAAGTGTATGGGATCAGGAAAGGTTGAAAATACTACTTATTGTCAAAGCCAATTAAATTTTAGAGTCTAAAAACAATTAAACTTTCCTTACAGTGTTTATGGTTCTCTCTCATTGATACAAATCAGAACCAAGGAGCAAATTAAAATTGCATCTCCAGAGGCATAACCGTGCTTGTCTGTTGCAGCAAAAATAAACAGGTGTCTTTTGTGGACCGTGAGCCACTTCCTCTGATGTAAAGTGCCACAAGAGTCCTATTTATTTTTTAAGCTGTTATTCCCCCTCCCAAAAAAAAAGAACAACTGTTGTTGGAAATTTATCATTTGTAGGATATTTTCTAGGATGAAACTCCCAACTCTGGAACTGGGGAATTGTCTTGAATCTTACCAAGGACAGAGGGAAGGCTTGAATCCAGTCCTGAGTTTCTTCCACAAACAACTGTCTGACCACTGTCTGTATGGGGGGAGGGGGATTTGCTATTTGCAGTTCCAGTTCCTGGATCAGTTTGCCCCCAGAAAACTCAAATGCAGCACCTTAATCCGTATGTTTAGATGCTACTGAAGCCTCTCTGGCAATCCTTTACCTAGATCCATGTCAACCCACAGCAGGACGTCGCAGAGTGTGATCATTCCAATAACATCATGAAATGCCAGTGCAGGTTAAGTGCTGAACGTGTCTGGATGTTCAACTGCCATATAGGTGAGTAGAAAAACGGCTGAAAAGATGTGCTCCATATCAAATTGGTATGGAAGTACCTGACACTTCATGTGTATTGCTGCCTGCCATATGTCATGCATGCCCTGTAGAGGGGTAACCAAACTGCTAATCACATGGCTTCATAAAGCTGTCTTATACTGAGTCAGATCATTGGATCATCTGGCTTGGCATTGTCCGTTCTGACTGGCAGCTGCTATCTAAGCAGTTAAATGTCTTCTCCAGTTGTTGTTGTTGTTCAGTCGCACAGTTGAGTCCGACTCTTCGCGACCCCATGGACCAGCTCCCGCCAGGTCTTCCTGTCTTCCGCCGTCCTCTGAAGTTGGCTCAATTTCATGTTAGTTGCATCTATGACACTGTCTAACCATCTCATCCTTTGCCGTCCCCGTCTTCTTTGACCTTCAATCTTTCCCAGCATCAGGGTCTTCTCCAGTGAGTGCTCCCTTCTCATTTGGTGGCCAAAGTATTTGACTGATTTGATCTTCTTGCAGTCCAAGGGACTCTCAAGAGTCTTCTCCAGCACCATAGTTCAAAAGAATCAATTCTTCGGCGCTCGGCCTTCCTTATAGTCTAACTCTCGCAGCCATACATGACTACTGGTGTGGTGCTGCTCGTTAGGGTGTGGGGTGCAGGGGTGCAGGCAATTCAAAGACGACAGGATACAAGCTTGCAGGAACTGTCTGAATGAAGGAAGGAAGGAACCTCCTCCTCTCACGCAGCAGGTTTATTTATACACCTTTCTTCCCCCTTCTCCCCCCCTCTCCCTCCATAAGGGAGTTACAAGCATTAGAGCATCCTTTTGGAATGTGTGTGTGTGTGTGTGTTCAAGTTCTCTCAGGCAAGTTCTTATCAGTTGCTCCCCCTCTTCAAGGTTAAACCATCTGCGTAGTGATCAGTAAACAGATTCCATCTCGGCCTCTCATGACGTACAAGCATTTCAGCTCCCAACCTCCAGCCAGGAGAATAGTGATTTATTCTGCACTGCTGTCCTACATACTGGGAATACCATTGCTTTGACCATGCGGACTTTTGTTGGCAGGGTGATGTCTCTACTTTTTATCATGCTGTTTAGGTTCGCCATCGCTTTCCTCCCAAGGAGCAGGCGTCTTTTAATTTCATGGCTGCAGTCACAGTCTGCGGTGATCTGGGATCCCAGGAACGTGAAGTCTGTCACTACTTCCACAGCTTCCCCTTCTATTTGCCAAGGAGTGATGGGGCCGGATGCCATGATCTTAGTTTTTTTGATGTTGAGCTTCAAGCCCACTTTTGCGCTCTCCTCTTTTACCCTGAGCAAGAGGCTCTTGAGGTCCTCTTCACTTTCTGCCATCAGAGTGGTATCGTCTGCATATCTGAGGTTGTTGATCTTTTCCCCAGCAATCTTAATTCCCGCTTGTGATTCATCCAGGCCAGCATTTCGCATGATGTACTCTGCATATATATTAAATAAGCAAGGCGACAATATACATCCTTGTCGTACTCCTTTTCCTATGCTGAACCAATCAGTTGTTCCATATCCGGTTCTAACTGTCGCTTCTTGGCCCTTATACAGGTTTCTCAAGAGACATGTGAGGTGGTCTGGTACTCCCATCTCTTTAAGGCCCTGCCATAGTTTGTTGTGATCCACACAGTCAAAAGCTTTAGCATAGTCAATGAAGCAGAAGTAGATATTTTTCTGGTACTCTCTTGCTTTCTCCATAATCCAGCGAATGTTGGCAATATGATCTCTCGTTCCTCTACCTCTTCGAAACCCAGCTTGTACTTCTGGTAGTTCTCTATCCACGTACTGTTGAAGCCTAGCTTGTAGGATCTTGAGCATGACCTTGCTAGCGTGTGATATGAGTGCAATTGTGCGATAGTTTGAACATTCCTTGGCATTGCCCTTCTTTGGGATTGGAATGTATACTGACCATTTCCAATCCTGTGGCCACTGTTGCGTTTTCCAAATTTGCTGGCAAATTGAGTGCAGCACTTTTAACAGCATCATCTTCTAAGACTTTGAATAGCTCAGCTGGAATACCATCACCTCCACTAGCTTTTGTTGTTAGTAATGCTTTCTAAGGCCCATTTAACTTCACATTCCAGGATGTCTGGCTCGAGGTCAGTGATTATACCGTTGTGGTTGTCAAAGACATCAAGATCTTTCTTGTATACTTCTGTGTATTCTTGCCATCTTTTCCTAATCTCTTCTGCTTCTGTTAGGTCCCTGCCGTTTTTGTCCTTGATCATGGCCAGCTTTGCATGGAACGCTCCCTTGAGTTCTTTTTTGTACAAAGGGTCTTCACCCTGTATCAGATGATGTAACACATGAGTTGTGGGCTCAGCTCAGTTTCTGTATTAAGATAAGGACCATGGTGCATGTGGAGAAGGGGTTCAGCCTTCCCCTCATGTAGTACTTTCCCACCCTGAAATAGTTCCAGGGGAGACCCTTCTTGGGCCACTATCCCCACCCCAGGACTGTTTCAGATGGGGAAAATGGTGCAGGGAGGAAGGCTGAAGCCTCTTTTCCACATGCACCACAGTCATGATCTTAATTGGGCAGCGCACACATGGGAACTGAAGAAAACCCACATCTCACATGTGATTGTGTTACATCTGACACAGTATGGGGACTCCACATCCAGTATGTGTATTCTGTAATGTGTGAAGAGGATGGAAATGCCAAGGAGTGAGCCAGTGTGCAACTTTGCTGCTGCCTGTCCATCTTCATTGTCACTGCAATACAAAACTGCCTTAGACCATTGATCTGTCTGGCTCAGTGTTGTCTTCTCTGGCCAGCAACAGCCTTCCAGAGTCTCAGGCAGAGAAGGGTCTTTTCCAACACCTGCTCCCTGAGATATGGCGGGGGTAGAACCTGGGACCTTCTGCATGCAAAATATGGGCTCTGCCACTGAGCCACAGCCCCTCCCCCACCACACTGTGTCTTTCCATTTTCTCCCCTCCGCAGCCGACTCCTTCAGCGAAGCAATAGAAGAGAAGTTTAATCACTTCAAAGGACTTATGACCAACCTGGTGCCCACTCGATAAAGAGAAACCCTTAACTTCAGCCCTGTTATTTAAGGAAGAAGGACTGCCTTTTCCCAGAGTTTCCCTAACCACTGCACCGAAACCTAAAGTACTCAAGCAACCAACCACGAACTTTCAAATTAGCTTTGTAAGTTATTTTCAAGGGTGTCCTACTTTATGGTCTTCAGCAGCAGAAGGAATAAGGTTGGTTCTTATTTCATATCCATTCCAGCAAAACAAAGGTTTTGCACTAAGCTGTCTAGTTTCCCCTTGTTGTACACCCTAATTTATTCCCCAGGAATTGTGTGCAAACTCTTGTGCCATATCTGTTCAACGAAAGGTGGCAATACCAGCCCAACAGCCCACATCAGGGGGTCAGGTGCTGGCAATTCGTAAGGGAATTTCTCTTACACAGCTTCGGTCTCACTAAGATTTGAGAAATCGACTCTGTACCACTGATGCAGAACAGAAATTTCCACAGAGGTCTCATGACTTACAGAGGTCTCAAGAATGCTTTCTTAATTTCTAGTACTTGTCAGCCACCAATTTCTTGGCACCATCCCTTCTCCAATAACATATTTGACAGCTGGCTTCAATGCACCAAGGCGCAAAAACATCTGTCAAGTTATTCCTTGCATTTCGGTTTTGGATACCAGTAGACTGTGAATTGTTCTTCACCCAATAAGCTGTCCACCTGCCTGCCTTTGACTTGCATTCCCCAGTACTCTGATCAGTGCCTGTCTTCTCTTCCCCACATGTTCCCCCATCCATAAGAACCATGATGTACTCTCCAAAGGTAATTAATGTATTGGGCCTTTCTGGTGATGTCAGACGATCCTGTGATATTTTTTTTTAACTGTTGCAGTTGCACGCTTTGGTAAATGCATAACGGTGCTAGGCCCCTGTACCTCTCTTTGCTGGAGGTCATGCATCAGCAGGGTTGCAGAGGCATATACATACATACCTACTTGAAGAGCCTATGGGTGCGTTTTGTGAACTTCCAGTACATGGAATCAGGTTGGCTGCAACTCTGAAGCCAGAGTTACTTTAGAATTGCCTTGCTGGACCAAACCAAGACCTCTCTAGTCCAAAAGCAGCCGTCCAGCTAATGTTGGATGCCCAGAAAACAGGACATGAAGGTGATGGCTTTTGCTCCCTGCCCTGTTTGTTCTCAGTATGAGGCAGAGACTGTTATCTTAGCTACTACCTGCTGACAGTCCTTGCTTCTAGTCCTATTTGTTTTGCTGCTGTTGGTGAAGGAACTACAAAAGGGACTCTTTGAGCCCCAGGCAGGATATACAAAGGTTCTTTTAGGCTTCCCCATGTTTCCCACGGAAACCCTTCCTTGCCTCTCCTGCAGTATGTGAAAGTCTTCCCCAGCTGAAGGACCAGAGACATGCACCCTCCAAGCTACCACCAGGCTGCATTGTGCCCGGCAAGAGTAACTGCAGCAGGTTCATACCTCCTCCATTCCCATCTGTGAAACAGGATAAGAGCGACCAGGGAAGGGAGCTGAGATACAAAGATAAAAGAAATGGAATAAAACACACTGCATGGTTAAAATACTATGTACATTATTAGAAATCACACTTAGCGGCTGTGATTTGCAACAATGCATAAGTAATCTGCCAGTATCTGATCTGTTGTTGTTTTTTTGTCCTGTGTAACCTACCTCACAGGGGTGTTGTGAGGCTCGTGGCCAGATGACCACGCTTGGACCGGGCACTCGTTTCTTCCAGCTGGGGAGGTGTATCAAGCTTATGTACCCAGAACCCAAACTAGCACTTTTGTATGTTGCCACCAGTGGCTATTCCTAGTGGTACACACATCAGAAAGGCAAAGCAGAGACCTAGCTTAGCAGTGGAGACAGAGATGAGTTTCATGGCTCTCCCGCAGTTGGGCTGGCGGGAATGAATTGCTTCACTTTTGCACTAGAGGATGAGAATGGCACCGGTGCATCACAACAGTCATTGTGTTTCCCATCATCCTTCCAGCCACTCCAGCAACTCATACAAACGTTTCTGTTATCCATGTTCTTCTGCAGTCACAGCACTTGAAGAGTCACTGGTTGGAAGCTTCTCTCTCACCAACTCTTTCCATGTGACCTACATTGCTAAACGGTATGGGGAAAACTGCTCAACTGCAGTGGCTCCAGCAGCAAAGCAAGGAGGGGTGCAGGCTCAGGAGTTCAGTCCAGGGACCCCCAATGTGGTACCTGTGAGTGCCATGGTGCCTGCTGACACCTTTCCTGGTGCCTGCCGAGTGTTTTTAGAAAGGGCGATGCCAGGTGTGGGCTTTTGCCCAGCAAGGTTTCTCATTGGCCATTGGAGATTTCATTGGCTGTGCAGATTTTTAAAAATAACTGCTTTGGCGGCAGCTGCCACCACAACACAAGGATCTTCACTGTGTGACTGAAGGTAAGCTGCAGCCGCCATTTTGTGGCTGCGTCCACCACACTGTATCAGAATTCCAAAGGTGCCTGAAGGCTTAAAAAGGTTAGGGGGACCCCAGGTTCAATTCATAAACCCACTTAAGCACATTTGCCTCCCCTACACACGCACACACACAATCACATACTTCAATAAGTAATGATTTCTGTCAAAAGGATCAGACTGCCCTGCCACTTCCAGACTGGGAATTCACAGGGGCCATAAGGAATTTAGCCCCTTGAACAAAATAGCAGTGCAAGAGTTCAGTAAAGTGTATATCTGTGCAGTGCAGTGTAAAATGAAAAAAATGAAACACCACACCAGGCAAAGAAGATTCCAAAAACCACTCTACATCCATAGCTGATCATCAGACTTTGTGATAGTAACTTTATTGTAAAATGAAACAAAACAAAAAAACTTTACAAACTTCAGTAAAGGTATCGAGTCCTGCAAATGTGTCATTGCGTTACGTATCATTGGTTCCTAATTTCACTGTAGGCTCCAACAACATATTTGTACAAAGTCCTCGTGTTTGTTAGGGACGTGAGGACTTTGTATCACACATGCAGTGGGAATTTTGTGCCTCTCAGACGCACATTGACTCTTTTCTGTTTGTGACCACAGCATGCAGGGAAGACCGCCTTCACATCTGCAAGCCCACCCATGGAGCCGCTATGAGCTCTGTTGTAAACAACATGCTCCATGGGACGACTGCTGTTGCAAAAAACAACACAGAGATGGGAGGCTAAAGCAGCTTCCCCTGCATGTTGCGGTCACGGCAAGAAAAAAGCCAATGTGCATCCGTGGAAAATGGTGAGGGAGGGGGGACTGCAGATAGCACTCCATTTTTCTCTGGTATGCTGTTTTTCTCCTCCCTGCTCTTCACCCAGTAAGGGGACCAGACCTGCATTTCCAACACAAAACATACTTGGAACCCTTGATTTAAATCACACACTCTTTGCAAGAATAACAGCAACAGGCAGGTTTTGAAGACAGGAGATGGTGCAGGAAATGTCGTCCCACCCTGAATGCACAACGGAGCAAGGAATGTCTATCAACCTCAGGATGAAAAACACCTGTTCCAGAACCTGCTAACTTTTCAAAGCACAGGTGATCAGCCAAGTTGAAAAAAAACAACCAGCACACAAGCTGTTTGGGCAATGTTTTAGATGCCCAACAAGACAGACTTTTCACTGTCCTACAGTGCCCTCCTGTGGTCCCTTTACAGGTTGGCCCACTTCCCCCAAAGCAATAAGGAAATCTGACTTCCCACCATTAAATGCTTGCCAAGTTGGTTCCTTCCCCATTTCTAACACAACCAACCATCATCCCCATCTCCCTACTGCAAAAACAACCCCCCCACACACAAAATAATATCACAGACGAGGCCTACCGTCAGACTACACAGCTTTAATAGCACACCCAAAACCATCACCCAAAACCACTTCGGATGATTCACTTCACTCTGGCAGGTTGACGTTTTCTGATTCTGGCACTTCTTGGCCTGAGCACCGCTGAGTTTTGCGGAGTAATCCCAGTGCCCTGGTCACCAGCCTTCTAGCCACTGCTGTGTCGGTCTGGGGCCTCTCTTTGGCCAGCTGGAGGAGCTCTGAGTAAAAGGGAAGAGAAGCAGAGATTGAAAAGGGGAAGAATCAGTATGAGTTGGATTCACACTGGACCTTAAGTCTTCAGCCAGATGTTGAGCCCGTTCAAGATCCTTTCTGCCATATGGATAAGGCCTGGTCAACTCATACAGCAGCATAAGGTGGTATAATAGAATTGCAGGCAAAGGGATGCCTTTTTTTACACACACACAAAAAAGTGCCCCTATGTTTAATTTACTGAAAGTAAAAATACATTTTAAAAAAAGCATTTGCAAGAAAGATTCAGTTCATCCCTTGCTGAGAGCCCAGATACATATTACAAAATTTGGCATACAGTGGACATGATTGTTTGGGGGCACTGAAGCTCCCCCATGGCAGAGAGAAGATTGCAGGGTCTTTTCAAACAGAGGGTTCCCCCACAGTTTGGGTGCCAAACTGCAGCAGTTTCTCTTTGAGCTTCTTACATCCCCATTTTCCATTGGTGCTTTCCTTGTGCTTTCCCAAATCAGATCAAAGGTGGTTTAAGCAAGCACAGAGAAACACAAGTGAAAGCACAGAAAGACAACAAATAGAAAGCACCATCACGAGCAGCAAGGTCAGAGGGAGAAACTGCTGTGCAGAAAGACCCTCTAGAGAGAAACAGAAGCCCCCTGGCCCCCTTTTCTCCTCTTACCCATCTTTCCCCTAAGGGTAGGAGGTGAAGCAAGAGGAACCAATGGGAAGGAACAAGCACAACTAGCTGCTTAATATGACAACCAGGGGTTAGCAGGGACAATGGTGGTCCAGGTTGCCTATGATCCCACCCACGTGTTTTCTTTTTTTCTGTCTAGTTCCAGCAGTGCTTCAGAATTCTCAACCATCAGCTCCTGGTTATTATGTAATCAGAGCAATATGCAACCAGGTGCTAAACATTTGGGTTTTTAAAAAAAAAAAAAAAAAAAATAGAATTTTGATCTCCCAGCTGCAGGCTAAAATAGCGTGCTGCAGAATCCTGAGAGCCCATCAGTATTCTAACCAGACAGTGGGCAACTCCTGTCTGCACAGGAGAAGCACTTCCTGAATTTGAGTCTTGCCAAGATCCCAAACTGGATCCTTCACTACGTCTTCATCTCTGGCTATTCTGAGACGTATTCTGAAGAGGCCAGTGATATCCAGAATCAATTTCTATTTCCAGGGGGCCTTTTTCCTTGCTTTCACCAACAAGCCCTCCAGCTGCATAAAAAATTGCCACCTTCCCATCCGGAAGATGCCAGCTTGCTATTCAGTGATTCTGGAACAGAAGACAACTTGCGTCAAAAATAAATGCTACATTTCTTACTTGGCCGCTGAAGTGCCTTGATTTTTGTCTGTCTTGTAGCATGGATTAGAGGGCGTATCTTTAAGGATGTGTAACTCTGTTCCATTGCTTGAGATGCTGCCAAGAGAACATATTATTATGAGGTTGCATTTTTTATAAATATGCACTCAGTAGGTGACTTCAGCAAGCCACTGAGCTAAAGGAAGAGTCACAGTCTAAAGACATAAATACCAAGTGTGAAAAAGACTGGCAATAAAAGCTAATAAAAATTATACAAATATATCTTTGCATATTGTCAATTCTTAAACAGTGAAATATCATAAATGGTATTATCATATCAAAAATATATAATCATTAGAAATGAATACAAATATCCAGATTCAAAGAGTCCAATTGTAAGTCCCTTAAGTCCATAAATGTTAAGTCCATAAATACTGTTGAAGGTTCTGGATGAGTCTTCCATTTCAATTGCCTTCTTCAGAGATGGACTGTAGTTATCCTCAACTCTTGCTATTATCCAAAGGAGACTGTACTTCCTTTGAAAATGTGATTGGTAGTTCACCTTGAAAATTGTTTCTTCCGCAACTTGAACCTTGATAGTATTTGAAACTGTCACTGGAGAACTGAAATATCAACTACAGTCCGTCTCTGAAGAAGGCAACTGAAATAGATGACTTATCCAGAAATCTTCATCAGTATTTATGGACTTGACATTTATGGACGTATGGACTTAAAACTGGCCTTTTTGAATCTGGATATTTGCATTCATTTCTAATTATTTATTATGTACTTTTGATATCATAATACCATTTATGATATTTCACTGTTTAAGAATTGACAGGCCACTGCCACCCTAGACCCTCTCACAGCATTGATGCAAGGATAAAGCCAGTTCAAAGAAGACTATAATTGGCCCCAATCCCTTCAGGTGTCATTTCTCCTATCCAAACATCCCAGCAGCATCCTAATGATACCTACTGTTCCAAAGTGAGAATTCAGACCTCATCCACTCAATTGCTTCAGTGCCAAAAAAAAGTTATTTAAATTAAAAAACCATACAGTTATTTGTCACCCCTTGTTGCAGAAAGAATCCAAACTCCCCCCACCCTGCAAAACAGCACAACTGCTATTGCAGAAGACGGCCTACACCTAGGAAGCATTTCTGTTCTGGAGAATTCACATATTTGCATCACCACTTTGGGTCTCAGAGAGTTTGTTTGGTCAAAAACTGGCTAAAAATGTTTAAAGTAAATAAATAGCACTTAAACCAGTAGTATTTAGTTGCTGGGTAATTGCGATTCTTGCCCCAGTGAGCAGTCCCATTTGAATTGCAAACCTTATGCAGACTAGGTTAATTAAATTACAGCACTGTGAAAAGAAACATGGCTAGATACAACAGAACACATGTGAGCTGACAAGTGGTATGAGAGGTGCACCATTTCTCACTGACACATTTTTTCCAGCTGTCATAGGGTTTTTGCAGGTTTCAAAGCATTATAAAAAGCAACCAGCGGAGAGGCTAGTGGAATGAATGCATGAACCATAGGCAACAATGTCTGTCGCAGCTTCTTTCAGACAGCTGCAAGTGACAGAACAGAGACAGTGTTTACCTTAATGTGTATGAGCTCATCCCTCTAAGAACACATGAAGCTGCCTTGTAAAGAGAGTCAGACCATTGGTCCATTCACACCAGTACTGGCTAATCTGATCGGCAGTGGCTTTCTGAAGTGCAAAGGTATTTCCCATTCATGCTATGAGAGACAGGCCAAGAAAATGCTAGGGACTGCACTAAAAGCACAAGCTTTATATGTACAGGTCTGTCCCCAAGCTGTGGACCCCGTCCGATAGAATACGTAGCATTCATATACCTTGTTACATGAAGAACCAGGATTCAAGCCCCCAGACAGATTTGAATAGATGTCCTGAGGGACTGAACCTCACCTATTATGACAGTTCACAAGTTTTGCAGACCCAATAAACTGGATCCAGGCAGTTCCCGAGAGCAGGATTCCAGAAAGGCATTCTGGGCTACCGCAGAAGGGGCAGCTGCAGAAGTTGGGCCCTGCGGAAACGCTACCCTAGATCCAACCCACTGAGGGTCTACCCAAAACAATGAGCTAGTGTAGTGTCATGGTTAAAGTGCTGGACTGGGAACTGCGAGACCCAGCTTCGAAACCCCACTCTGACCTTGTGCCAGTCACGTACTCCCAGCCTAATCTACCTCACAGGATTGTTGTTACAATAAGACGGAGAAGAACAACGTAAGCTGCTTTGCATCCCCATTAGGAAGAAAGGCAAGGCATGAATAAAGTACATAAACAAAATCTTCAAAATCTACGTACTGGATAATTCTATCACTACCTGCATGAGACACCCCCTGGCCTACCAGCAAACAGGAAGTCAAATCAGGTCAGGCAGATATGGCAGCTCCCAGAACCCGGCTTCACTGTGCTAGAGCTCTGACTGTTGAAAGGCAGAACCATTCAGAAATGCCACCTCACTCAAAATCCACCTCTCCCAGTTCCATAAGCACTCCAGGACCTGAGCAGGCTAATACCTCCCTGCTTCTTTCTCCTCTTCAGCTCTCAACTTCTCCCCACCTTCTGTTGTCCCGGAGGATATTTACTCCTCGACAAGTTTACAATGTCAGTTTTTTCTGCATATGTGAAGACACCCCCAAATAGGAAGATACCCGTTCCTTGTTTTGCTGGTTCCATGCTGTGGCCAGCCTCTGTGCCATTGCCTAATAGAAACAGTGATGCCAAGAGATGTACAAATGTACTGTGTCAACTGTCAACTAGGGTCAACCTTTTCTGCATCTGATGAAGTGGGACGTGGCCACTGTTCCCTCTAAGCTGAGTTAGTGTGAGCTAGCTCACAGTTTTTTAGCCTCCGGCTCACACATTTTTGTCTTCGCTCAGGGAGGATGGCTCTAGAGCAAACTACTTTATGCAGTAGCCAGATTGCTTGCTCACAAAGTACAATTTTCGCTCACAAGACTCCACAGCTTAGAGGGAACATTGGTCGTGGCCCTCTAAAAGCACAATCCCAACCAGACGTACACCCTTCTAAGCACCTCAACTTCAACGGACTTAGGAAAGAGTCGGACTCAACTGTGCGACTGAACAACAAAAGCCACTTTGGACTGCACTGTTAAACCCATGCAACAATAAGTCTTATTTGCCCTCCTCCACGGTTTATCTCCCCTTCTCTCTCTTCACAGTGACTCTCCCTGCGCGCAAATTTTTGAGAAAAATTAGCCACATAGGGGAAGATAAACAACTGACAGCATCCACAGCTTTATTTGTGGGAAACATTCAGGATTCTCAACACGGAGATGTCTGCAACGGCAAAGGCAATGTGCCCTTGCAAACGCAACACGGACTGGGAAAAGCTCGAGACTCTCCTTAGCGGGACAGTAGAGCAAGCATAGTTAGCAGGAACACAGTCACTCATGCAAAAAATGAGAGAGAGGGAGAGAAAGAGACACGTGTGCCACATTACCTGCCACCAAACTGGAGAAAATGCCAAGGGCATGAGTGTCATCAACCCACTGCACTTTAAAGCCACTCTCTCTGGGGGGAAAAGACAGAAGGATCACAGTGGTTAGTAGAAGCTAAAACACCACAGGTAATATTTCTCATGAAGGCAGTTTCAAGCACCATGGCTCTTAATGGGGCAGGTGTAACAAACTTTAGCTGAAACTGGGCCATTACTGGCCAGTGATTGAAACAGATTTGATGTTCTCTCAAAAGGAACCCATCTCGACTGATATTAATGGACAGCAAGGTCTTGAAATAAAGCAACAAGACCAAAACACCTGACGGGCCCTGCCATAAAAGCAGTGAGGCACCATCCATCTCAGGTGACAATCACAGCAATTGTTGGTTGCTAACTGTACACAAGGACTCAGGAACTCACAAGGGGAATCTCACTCCTGCTGCCCCGTATTTCCCTCCCCACACTATTTCCTCTTTCCTTCCTCTGGCAGCTACACAACCTCTCTCTTCTCTTCCCATTCCCTCTTCTTCTCTTTCAGCTTTCCTTCCTTCTTCCTGGTTACTTGGTTTCTCCCTTTCCCTTCTTCCCATTTTTTACCTTATCAAATCCCACCCACTCCCACTGCCAGCTGACATCAACCTAGGCATGGAAACCCCTGCAATGCTGTCTCACCTTGCCAAACAACTCCCAAAATGTCCTGTGAGATCTCACAATGTAGCCTTTTGAGATCCTGTGCAGCAAGCAGACAAGTAAACTGGCCGTCCACAGACAGCTGGTTCCCAACAGCTCAAAGCAAGCTGGAGGAGAGGACACCTGAGGATGATGTCATCTGGCCGCGCCAGCTGTCAGGAGCCAAACAACAGCCAGAGCTGCTCAAGGAGGGACCCGTACTACACATGTCCAAAGACCCAAGGGTCTATCGGCTTGGGGGGGGGGGAGCTGGCCCTATGGGTGATACCAGTTAACTGAACATTCTGGATAATCAAATGCCATATAACAAAACTTTTACTGTATATAATTTATGAAATGGAGAGCCAACATGGTTGTAGTGGTTAGAGTGTCAGACTAGCATCTGAGGCACCCAGGTTTAAATCCCTGCTCTGCTCTGCCATGGAAGCTAGTGGGGTAACCTTGGGCCAGTCACACACTCTCAGCCTAACCTACCTCGCCGGGATCAACCCATGTGAATCAAAAGGAGAACAATCTAAGCCACATTGGTTCCATGTAGGGGAGAAAAGGCGTGGTATAAATGAAGCAAATTAAAAAATATTATTTGCAAGGGATCTGGAAGCTCTGCCCCAGGTACCAACTGTCTTGAGCCAGCCCTAGCAAAACAAGAAAGCTTTGAGCAGGTTTCTTACTGGAACTCTGCAAAGGCCTCCAAAAGGTGCTCAGTCTTTAGCGAAGGCGAAAAATCATAGATCTCCAACACATGTCCAAACTCTCCCTCGTTGATCTGTGCTTCCCCATAGCTGGTGCAATCAAACTGGATTTTCTCAATGCTTATGTCCTTTATGGTCAGATAATTTCTGATCTGGAAGAGATAGAGATTGGCAGCAGAAGGTAATATTAGTACCTACATAAGAACAAGAAGCATTCCTTTGCATGCACGTGACATCCCCATGTTTGTGATTATGCTACTGTAATCACTGTAATCATTTCCCTGTCAGGATAGGAAAATCCAGGAGATAAATGATTACAATAGAGCCATGCCCAGTGATATCTGGATCACACAACATTCAGCAAAATCAAACATAAAGGCTTTTCCTGAAATGCACCACTTCAAATTGCAAAAGCAGAAAAAACGTCCCTGCACTTATCTGTAACTATTGTTCATCGAGTCACTTCTGTGCAGGCATACATGGGAACTGCACACGAGCAGGCCTGCCATCAGATAGGTCTTTACAGCTAAAAACCTCCAGTGGGTGCTGCGCACTGGGGCCAGAAGCTTCTTCCCTGCCAGGGACCTGCACAGCAGCACCCCACACACACACACCCTCAGTACCTCTAGCACCGCTGAAGCCAGAGCATGCAGCGGGGCAGGAGGGAGGATATATGTGCCTGCACAGAAGATACTTGATGAACAACAGTTACAGGTAAGCAAAACTTTGGTTTCATCATCAATTTTCTGTGCAGTCTCACATGAGGATTCTAGCAAGCTACTCTCTAGGTGATGGGGCATGCTCTCCTCACCTGAACAGTGAATGAAGAACTGCCTTGCCCACTTATGCCTCACCTGCAGATCCAAAGTGTAGTGACGTGCAAACATGTCTGCTGATGACCAGGTGGCAGCTCTGCAGATCACTGACAAAGACACTCCATCCAGGAAAAATGCAGAAGCAGCCACTGCCCTAGTGGAATGGGCATGAATGTTCGACGGACATAGTCATCTGGCCTTTTAATAACACTCCCCAATGGCCCTGACAATCCATCGGGACAGGGGCTGAGATGATGCGATCCTACTTCTCTTAGGGCCACTAAAACAAACAGGGCTCTATCCCTGCGAAACTCCTCCAGGGTTCTCTTGAGGTAAAAATAATAATGCCCTCCTAACATCTAAAGAATGCAACAAGTGCTCATTCTCAGAGTTTGGCACAGGAAAAGATACAGGTAAAACAATATCTTGGGATGAATGGAATCTAAAAACTACCTTAGGAAGATTACCCTTTCAGGAAAGACCTTCAAAACGTCATCAAGCCGGTCGACGCAGCCGTTCGGGACATGACTGATCCAAGCCAGAGACGTTTCCACCATGCAGTTACGGCGTGTGCAATTAAAATGAATTATATGTTGTCTTTCCTATCCCCTATGAAACATTGTTCGTCCCCTGTCTAAAGTGTAACTGTAAATCACTTTGAGCCCACTTGTGGGGAAAGCAATTAATAAATCGAAAGGTATTAAAAACAAGGGATCTACCTGCAGGGCTGCTAGCTCACTCGCCCTCCTGGCTGAGGTAACATCCACTAAGAAACACACCTTTATAGAACACTCTGTCAAAGAACAGGCAGCAAGAGGTTCAAAAGGCTCGAGCATTAACTGTGCTAGGACAACAGATAGAGACCACTGGGGCACCAAAGGATCTTGGGGTGGGCAGAGATTACTCAACCCCTTGAGAAACGTCTTAGACAAATGATGGGAGAAAACTGATCCTCCCTCAATTCCTCTGTGACAGCAAGAGAGAGCAGCCAGGTGAACCTTTAAAGAAGAAAAAGCCCTTAGTTTTCAGGTGTAATAAATAATCAAATATAACCTGCAACAGAGCACCCCTTGGCGACACGTCCTTCTCACTACACCAGATGGAAAATGGCCTCCACTTATACATATTTCCTCCTAGTGTTGGGCTTGCGTGACTGCAGGAGAACATCATTAACCTTAGAAAAAATTAGGTCTCTGTCTGAAACCTCCAAGCTGCCAAGCCTGATCGTGATGAAACACCTGGCTGATGCTGATTAAATCTAGTCAATCTGGTAGGAGAAGGAACTGGCCCCTGGAGATCTCCATAAGGACCAGAAACCATATTTGACAAGGCCCAAAGGGAGCTACCAGAATCATGTGTGATCTCTCCCTCCTGGCTTTCTCCTTTACCCTGATAAGAGCGGGAATGGAGGAAACTCGTAAAACAGGGCTCGCTGCCAATGCAGCTGAAACGCATCCCCTAGGGAGCTAATTCCTGTAGCTGGAGACTCCAAGACCATGACCTTCTCCTTCAGCAGCTAAAGAGGAAATGAGGGTAAAGGGGGTGCTGCTGTGCAGAAGCACGTGGTCCCTAGGCGGAAACAAGCTTCTGACTCCGGTGCATAGCGCCCCCGGAGGCTTTTAGCTGTAAAGACCTATCCGATGGCAGGCCTGTTCATGCACAGTCCCCATGTGGGACTGCAGAGAAGATCAATGATGAACCACCTTCTCTCTCTCCCACACACATACACAGACAGACACTTGGAGCCCAGGTGATACAGTCTAGGCACAGCTAATACAATCTAACTCCACCAATAGTAAAAGCCATTCCTCAGTTATACAGGCTTGATTCACACAAGACCTTCTCTCCAACATGTTGGACTGGACATTTCTTTCCTCAATTTTAACTACTGGGGATGTGTTTTAACCTACTGATGTAAATAAGTACACGTTACTATAATTGCAACATCGGTGCCTTTTTGAAATATCAAAGCAAGTCAAGGATAACTAAGAATTATTGGGAGAAGACCTACAAATATCTCAGGGGAGAAGCAAATGCTTTGCTTCCTCTTCAACAGTCCTCTCAATTACAACCCCCATAAGCGCTTCACACATGAATGGAGCCATCAACTTCTATGGAAGGACTAAATGGGGGACCAGGACAAAAGAGCCTCTCCTGTCCTGCTTCCACGTGAGATGGGGGTCATGTCTGGCTTCCAGCTTAGGCACATCTTCTGCACACAAGGAGAATGTATCGTCTGTAACTCAAGGCCAAAAAAACCCACCTGTGAACAGTCGTTTTTATACAACATATAGAAGAACCTCCTAGTAATCAGGGCTAAAGAGGCTCTGAAAAAAGTCCAACCATTACCTCTTGAAGGAGTTCAGCTCCACAGTCATCTTCAAAGACACTGTCCTTTTCATCCACTGCAGAGGTTCCCACACTTCCATCTCCTGCGGACAGTTCGAGCCCAGGCAGCTTGCTACCCTCCAGGTCTACACCATGTCTCTCCTGGTCTTCAAGTAACAGACTGTTTTTGCCGTTGTAGGATACAGATGTATTTATAAAAGGTAGGGCCTCAGGGTCCAAGACAAATGACTTTATACTGTGTTCCAGAACAGGAGACGTAACTGATGCCTGTCCCAAAACAGAGGCACATGTGGTACTTGGATCTTGGGTGACTTCACAAGGCTCAGTTTGGCTACATTTCAATAGGGATACATCAACACAGTTCTTATCCTGGGTCTCCTGTGCTGTCATTTCTGGGTCATGTTGAGATGCGCCAGCATCCACAGTGATGTCTTTCAACAAGGGTTGTACCTTGCTACACTCCACTTCACTGGCACATGTACAATCATTCTTATTTTCCAGAAGTAAAAGATCATTGGTGTGCTTCAACAAGATATCACCTGTAATCTGATCCTCGTGGTCTTCAAGTAGGGACGGGGACACGCTGCTTTCTGACAGAATGGAATCCTGATGGTCTTTTCCATGGTTCTCCAGGGATGTCAGATTTTTGCTCAATTCCAGTGCGATACCATCTGAAGCACTTTTGTTCTGGTCTTCTACTAAAGGCAGTGGTCCGCTTTCTTTGAGAAGTGCTGCATCAAAATTCCTGGCCTTTGGTTCTTCTAGCAAGGTTGATGTTTCCAAACTCTCTAATATCACAGTATCTGCACCATCTGTACTCTGGTTTTCTGAAAGGACCAGGTTTGGACTACTCTCCTGTTCCAAGGTGATATGCTTCATTTTATTTTGGCCTTCCTGTTCTGACAGATCTTCCAACGAAGGAGAACCCAGATACCCCATAGGGTCTTCACTACTTTTACTACCAGACTCCAGATTATTAGTATACATCTCCCTGGGGTTTTGAGCTTCTGGATATTCCACATCAGGGCCAACATTGCCAGGAAATGCACCAGTATCTGTAGCTCCTTCACAGCCACAGACCATGCTTGACATTCTGTTTTCATTCAACCCAAAGCCATGCGACTCTGCTCCAAATAGTTCAGGGCTGTCCTTTGTCAAGCCCTCAGGCTTCTTGCGCATCGCTCTGGGGACATACAAAGCTCTATCTGGCTTCCTCCGGGGCTGTCTCCTGCCCCTGCCATTTCCTCTGCGAGTTTGAGCGCCGTTGGCCTGAGCTTCCATGCGACGTGACCCTCCTCCGGATCTGCATCCTCTGCCTCTCGAGTGGGGAGGGTGACTCGACTTTGAGGCATTGCCACAGGAGCCGTCTTGATCATCTGGGTCATCCGGCAGCCTAGCCATAAGAAACAAAGGGAGGTCATGCATTGGCAGTGTGCAAACTCCCAGGTAAATGCTGCTCACTTTCTGGCAACAAATGCAGAAAGTTGAAGAACTTTACTATTTATTATATCCCCATGTAGCCTGACCATACAAACGTTTACTCAGAAAAATTTACTTACTCCCAAGTGTGAAATGGTTTAAGCAACAGATAATTAAGCAACATGACTACAGAGATAGTGCCCTGAAAAGCATGCTCTCTCTCTCTACACACACACTTGCTGGGGCTATCCAGGTCAGGGTGTAAGTCAAATACTTCTGATTTCCATTTTATCTTCTAGTCACCCACTCATTCACTCTCTCTGCCCCCCCACAGGCAGCTGACTCACACATGTCATTATGAGGTGGTACAGTCCTTTTAAGGAGACTGTACCACTTCAGTTTTGCAAGTAAAGGCACCGTCCAAACAGCTTCCTCATGGCAATAGTAGAACTCCCACACACAAGAGAGAAAATTAGTTTTCAAGTGGCAAGTTTCACATGGTGAACTGATTTCAAATAGGCATGGACATGAACCCCAAAAAAGCAGTTCGAAACCAACCCAAAAGGGCCCCACTTAAACTGAGCCAGTCTGGCAAGTTCGGTTCCCTCTTCCCCTGGCTGCCCAGGAGAAAGGGGAGACGCTGACACCCATTTAACCTGTCAGTTTCACTTCCCCCGCTTTGAAGGAGGGGGAGGAAAACCGGAGGGTTTGTTGGCTCACAGCCATCTATATATCTAATAGTGAAGTGGCCCCCTCTGTGCGGATATCTAAATCCGCACTTCGGGGGCACTTGGGGGGCAGGGAGAGGTTTGTGCACACGTGGGGCAGTCCCCACGTGTGCACAAAAATCCTAAATGTTGAAAAAAGAATCGGGGGGATGTTTAAATCCCCCCGAAACTCAAAGAGCGTCCCCTGCGCATGCGCAGGGAACGCTCTGCGACCGAGGCTGCCGCTGCCGCCGCTTGGGAGGGAAGCGGTGAGCCGGGAGGGGGGCTCAGAGCCAGGGGAGGGGGGAGAAAAAGCTGCCGCCGCCGCTTGGGAGGGAAGCGGCGAGCAGGGAGGGGGCCCAGAGCGGCGAGGGGCAGGCGGCTGCAGCCTCTCAAGGGCTCGCTACGGAGCCAGGCGAGGGGGGGAACAGTGAGGCCCGGGTGGCTGCAGCCTCCCGAGGCCTCGCTATGGAGCCAGGTGTGTGGGGGGGAACAGTGAGGCCTGGGCGGCTGCAGCCTCCCGGGCCTCGGTTCGGAGCCAGGCGCGGGGGGGAGGGGCAAGGGGGGAAGGCAAGGGGGTGGAGGACACGGGGAAACAGCGGGATGGGGGGGTACTTACCTCCTCCTGCTGCTTCCTCTGCTCCCTCCCACGAGTATCGCGGGTCCACTCCTTGTTTAATCATAATAGCTTGGTGGGTCTGCCAGTCAGTTATGTTTAAATGGCTGCCAGCCAGCCGTGATACTCAGCTGTTAGGTTTAAATGGCTGGTCCGGAATAGCCGAACCAAACTGGTCACAAGTCCGGTAAATGTTTGGGGAAGGCACCAGGAGTTCTGCATTCAGACAGCATCTAAAGCCATCACACTAATCATGTTTAATAGACCAATTTCAGATCCTATCTTGATGAACCGTAACCAACAATAGTCAGTGGAATGGCCTGCATTCAAAACAACCACACCAACCATAGTTAGTTTAATTAAATCATGATTTTGCACAACATCTAATGCAAGCCTGAGAAAAGGTCTGCTTCCATACAAGGATTTTCCCCTGCATGGAACATGGGAAGATTTAAGGGAAATGTCCACATGACATCCCACCCATTTTGAGCATAACTCATAGCATTCCCAGGGCTTTTCCCTTTAATCTGGAGAATAACAAAACTTGTCTTTCTCTGGTTTAAAGGGGTACTGTGGGCTGGTTGCAGGTGTATATCTATCTGGACATTCATAACCACCAATTTGGGGAGAAAGCTAAGTTCTGCTTTCAAAATAGCATGGGACAGTTTTAGTCCTCTAAAGGGCTTTTCCCTATTTCTCTGCACAGCCACACTGTAGTGTTACAGACAACTTGGTCCAAAAAGAGAAAGTGAAGAAAGGATATTTCCAGGTCACAGGGGCTCTAGCAAAACTGCCACTGAACACATGAAGTGGCCTTATACTGAATCAGACCATCAAGGGCGATATTGTCTACTCAGACTGGCGGTAGCTCTCTAGGGTCCCAGGCAGTGGTCTTTCACATCACCTACTACCTAATCCTCCAACTGAAGATGCCGGAGATTGAAACTGGGCCACAGCCCCTACATTTAAGGCTGGTTATGTTCCAGTTCCCATTACACCAACAAGCCACTTTAGGCTATGACTAAGCAGGAGGCAGATTTGCTATACAACATCTCTTTGCATCTGACAAAGGGAGAGCTAACTCTCAAGAGTTCATACCCTGAAAATCTTGTTGGTCTCTATGGTGCTACTGGACTCGAATCCAGCTGCACATCTGGGCAGGCACAAGGGGGAGAAATATGGAGGGGCATGTGGAACAAAAAGTGGACACGGCTCCCGCCACTCCCATGTTGCCTTCTGTTATTGCTGTGGCATTTCCACACTCCCATCTGGAGGCAGCTGGGGGCAAAGACATGAGTTGACTTTCAGAAGTCCCATCCCCACTCGCCCTGACCTGGATAGCCCTGGCAAACCAGATCTCATCAGACCTCAGAAGCTAAGCAGGGTCGACTCTGGCAAGTACTTGGATGGGAGACCTCCTTGAAATACCAGAGGTGGGAGATAGGGGCAGGCTTTATTCAGCCACCTCTCTGAATATCCTCCAGGCCCCCAGTAGGGGTCAGTCACCAGAGGTCGCCATGACTTCCAGGTGCACGCATATGCACACACACACACACTAGAACTCATGGGCACTCGTGGGCACTCAATGAAATTGCTGAGCAGTTGGGTTAGAACAGATAAAAGGAAGTACTTCTTCACCCAAAGAATGATTAACACATGGAATTCACTGCCTCAGGAGGTGGTGGCAGCTACAACCATGGATGGCTTCAAGAGGGAATTAGATAAACATATGGAGCAGAGATCCATCAGTTGCTATTAGCCATAAGGTATAGATAGGAACTCTCGGTCTCGGGCAAGTGATGTTCTGTATTTTTGGTGCTGGGGGGGGCAACAGTGGGAGGGCTTCTAGTGTCCCGGCCCTACTGCTGGACCTCCTGATGACACCTGGTATTTCTGGCCACCTTGCCAGCCAACATCTTCTCTCTGTTTATTCTACTTTCTCCTATTAGCAGCTAATTTTTGGCTGCAATTAACAGGAGGAGGCAGGTAAGTTCTGCTTCTTCCGTGCATGCTTGCCTACAATCCATCCAAAATGCACTAAGGAGCTGTTACGTGTGGAACTCCAACCTTATCGCCGAGTGACAGACCACGGTCCTCCTTCTCCATCCTTCCCCAACAGAAAAGCTGCTCAGGAGGTCGACATCGTCCACAGTCCTGTGGATCAGATACCTGAGGCGACTGGACAAGGGAGGAAACAAGAGCACTCTGCGGGGGGGGGGGGGGGGGAGAGAAGGCATCACACCAGTTAGCATTAAGCAACAGAATCATAAGTCCTGCTTGGGTTATCACAAAGTCTTACCCCTATTTATCATTTGTATCATTTCTTTATTTGGGAAATTTATACACTGCCTTTTCAGAGACCTGCTCAAGGACAATCAAAAATAAAACATTACCATAAAAACAACATAAGTTATCCGTGTAATAACAAACCAGGGGCATAAAAACAGGAGGGGGAAAAACCTACAGAGCACCCTAAAAGATACCCATCGCCCTAACCTGGATAGCCCAGGCAAGCCTGATCTTTCTAGATCTCAGAAGCTAGCAGGGTCAACTCTGCCAAGTACCTGGATGGGAGACCTCCCTGGAATACCAGGAGTTGGGAGGTGGGGGCAGGCTTTACTCAGCCACCTGTCAGAATATCCTCCAGGCCCCCAATAGGGGTCAGTCACCATGACTTTTAAAATAAATTTTAACTTTATTGCCAATAAGATACAATAACATATAAAACAATATATGTAACCATTACATTAATAACAGCAGTAGTGAGAATACAAATGTTTGAATAAAAAGAATACATCATGAGAAGAACCAACACCTGTAAACAGTATGAATAACACTTTAATAAACCATCGTTATTGTATCTAAGACTGAAGTGTAATCATCTTTGGTAGATAAATATTCCAAGAAAGGAAACCAAGTTGAAGTAAAATTGGAATCAGTAAAGTCTGTAGTCTTAGAAAAGATAGCATCAGGAAGTTTATCCATAAGGCAAAATTCACATCGTTTCTTTATCCATTCAGAGATGGGGAGATGTGTATTATTATTCCAAGATCTGGCTATAACAAATCTGGCTGCTGTGCACAAGAAAACAATGAGTTGTGTGGTGGGAGAGGAAGATTAAGTTGCCAAGCATCCAGTAGTAATGATTCTGGATCAAAAGGCATGTTGTATATTGTGGTATCAGAAATGTGGTGGATTATTTCCTGGCAAAATGTGTGTATATATTTGCAATCCCACCGACAATGTCGATAAGAACCTATTTCCCCACAACCAGCATAAGGGTGATAGAGATGATTGTATATGATGCAATTTTTGTGGCATAAGGTTCCACCTAGTTGTGAGTTTAAAGGACACTGTTCTAACGGTAATACGTTTAGATCTAACCAACATGGATTGCCAGAGGGATCGCCAAGTCGAGGGAGTAAATACCTTTGTACAGTCCTTCTGCCAATACATAGTGTATGATGGAGGGTTCCATGATCAGTGAGTATAAAATAGTGATAAGATGTTTATAAGAAGATCATGGCTCCTTTAACAGAACTTCAAATTTCGTCAGAGGTCGCATCAGTTCTTTCTCGATAGTCGGAGTACGTAACAAATGAGCTAATTGGAGATATTGGAACCAGTGCAATGTACCAGAGAGTTTAGCATACCGGGTCGATTTGTTTAAGATATTTATTTAAGATGCGATATATCAATAAATCTAGTCAGATTGTAATGTTTTAAGAGAGCATAAGAGTCAGGCGATAATGCAAGCTGGAACCATGGTTGTCCCATGTGCACACACAAAAATACAGAAATACCCCCAAAAAGATACCCATCAAACAGATGAGAAGCAGATAATAAAACCACTAAAAAGACAGTAAGGCAGGTGCCAAGTGAGCCTCAAGAGGAAGGGCATTCCAAATATGCCGTGCCACCACTGAATTTTGTGTTTCTAGGTCAAGTGGTTTGGCCTGGGCGTTGATTTTATGGTGAGGGGACTTTCTTTTATATATATAGATGGTATATTACTCCAAAGGATATTGAGAAAAGAGATAAAAACTACAAAGTAAAATGTCCGAAATCTCAAGATATAGATGGAACCTTTTAACATATGTGGTGAGCATGTAAAAAAGCATTTCAATGCATATAAATATTATAATGTAGAAGTAGAATTTAAAAAGTTTTGAATAAACTTATAAGGAAGTGAATTTGGAACAAAAATATCCTTTATCTTTTACTGTGAGATATATAAAAGATTTTTCATTAAACTTTAGTATATTAAAAGCTTTCGCTAGTATGGAGAAATGATAAAATATCTAACACAGAACACACAGTAATGATGAAATTAATACTACAGCTGCAAAACAGATCAAGTTATGAACTTTTAAATTTAAAATGTTTGAAGGAGAAATACTTTCTGCTGTATTTACCCTGTAATGGATAATCTTAGTTATCTATAATGTTGGATAACCCTTATTTCCTCTTGTATCCCTTTTATACAGTATCTTGTTTTATAAAATAAAATATATATAATAATAGAAATGGCCATGTACAAGCCAAGACCCGACAGCTGAGAACTCTGAAGTTCTCCTGGAGAAGGTTGGCCAGGGGTCCAACTTCATGTGTTTACTTACAGCCCCATCCAAGTCCTTTCTCCCTGACTGAGATCAAGGAAGAGCTGGGATAGTTAACTGACAAGTACTAGTAAAATAAGCAAAGATAAACGTAACAGATTCATAGTGAAAAGGTGGGCAGGGGCTCCAGATATCTCAAGCAGCACATGTTCAAATGCACCCAACACCACATCTCCTCTTCCACATTAAGAAAAGTCACTTTCTGAAAGTCCAAGGAAATAAACTACTAGATATCCACACGAACATTTCTACAAATTTACCAAGATCAGCTGAAAAGTGAAGAAATGTCCAGGATTCCTCCCTTAGATTCCCGCCTGCCCCCCCCCCCCCCCCCGCCTTTTCTGGGCGGCCACCTTCTTACAAGCCTACCCAGGGGGCAAGCATCCTTCCCCAGCGGCTGTACGGGCTCTTACTTCTCCAGCTGGTTCTGAAGCAGAAAGTGGTCCAGTTCTTCCAGGATCTTGTTGACGAAGTCATTCTCCGTGGGGGAGAGGAACACGCCGTCCAAGCAACGCAGCGCCAGGGTGACGGTGGGGTGGCGGCCTGTCACGAGGGGACAAAGAAGCAGGGAGGGGGAGAGAGAGATAAAGATGAGGCCAGCCTGAACCGAGAGTCACCCGACAGGCGAGCGGGCAGTTTTGCTTCCAAATGGATCGCCCTTAAATTAACGCCGACACACGAAGCAGCCCCACGAAATACGACCCGTTTTGTAAACGCCACTTTAAGGCTCCGCATGCTGCAAGGCTACAGTGTTGTTGTTGTTCGTTTTTTTTCAAGGCTACAGCAGCATCGGACGCTGCGCCCGCAGTTAGTGGGGGGGTCTTTTTTTGGGGGGGGGGGAGATAGTGGGGTGAGACTCCTATTCCTCGGTGTCATTTCCAGGGTCAGTGAGCGGCCCCTCCTCCCCCGGGGTTTGCTTTCCCGCGGCAAACGGACGCACCGCCGACACGTCCCCCCCTAAGCCTCCTCTCCAAGCTCAGGGACCCGCGCCGGCGCAGCGAGGCAGGAATCCGCTGGGCCGGTGCAGGGGGGAGGGGGGGCGCTAATGGGGAGAAAGACACTTTCACGCCCCCCGAAGCTGGCGCGTACCGCAGACCACGGCCTGCAACTGCTCCCCCCGAGCAGCTCCCTCCTTCCCGGCGGCCGCAGTCCCCTCCCCCGGTCCCCGCCTCCTTTTACCCGGCGGCGGCCGCAGGATCAGCTCCGCCTCCTTTCCCGCCTCTGCGGCTCCTCCTCCTCCTCCTCCTCCCCACTTTCTTTTTCTCCAGCTCTCTGCGCTGGGCTGGCTTTCCCTGTCCTACCACGCTGGTGCCAAAAGGCCTCTCGGCTGACAAACGGGGCAGGGCCACCCCGGCCTTGTCCGGCCACTGGAGCATCCCTGGCAGCTCTGTTGGGTCGCTGGCGTTGGAGCCGCAGCTGCAGGGGTCGGTGGAAAAGCCGGCCTCTCCGCTCGCTCTCTCGCAGCCGCCGCCGCTTCCCTGGAGGCAGCAAAGGCCAGTGCAGGCCACGAGCGGCCTTGTCGAGACAGGAGCGCTTTGCCGCCGACCCCAGGAAATCATTAGCTGGGTGAGGTCGGGGGACCAGAGGCAAGGCGCGAACAGCTGTCCAGCGAAAACCCCAGTCTGGCCAGATGTTCTCCTTGACGGAGGCTTGGAGCTGACAATCCTACCCCGGGGTTAACTTCCATTTCACTGTATCCGCGGAAGTGCGCGTGCACAGGAAAGCTCGCACCTTGAATAAAACTTTGTTGGTCTTAAAGGTGCCACTGGACTCAAACTTTGTTCTATTGCTTCAGACCAGGGGTGGCCAAACTTGCTTAATGTAACAGCCACACAGAATAAACGTCAGATGTTTGAGAGCAATAAGACTTGAACCAATATTACACACACGTTTATATTAAAAATATATGCAACTTTGCTTTTTATTAACATTAATTTGGAATGTGTGAAATAGCCGCATGCGGCTCCCAGCTGCAGTTTGGCCACCCCGGCTTCAGACCACAGAGCTGCCCACCTAGATCTACCCGAGGGTTGCTGGCTCCGGGTTGGGAAATCGCTGGAGATTTGGGGAAGGTGGAGTTTGGGGAGGGGAGAAAAAAGAATGCCAGAGTCCACCCTCTTGAAGCTACTGGTTCTTCCCAGCGGAGAACTGATCTCTAGTTCTGGAGTTTACTTGTCATTCTGGAAGAACTCCAGGCCCCATCTAGTGGCCAAAGCATTGATTTTCAGGCTTGCTGCCTCTGAATATGGAAGTTCTATTTAGCCAGCACAGATAGAGCTTTAAAGCCCTCTACACGCCTGGACATCATTCTGTCCTCTGGCAGTAAATCCCACATTTTTAATTTCTTGTTGAGTAAAGAAGAGCTTCCTTGTCTCCATCCTGAACCTATTACCCATCAGCGTCCTTGGGTGCTCCTGAGTTAGAGGAGAAAAAGCACTCGCTCTCCCTCCCCTTTCTCCATCCCCCCCCCCACACAGTAGTCTTTGTTTTCAGATGTGCAAATATATACAATTCAGTCTTTAAAAGAGGATGCTAACAGACATTGCTTAAATCAAGCAAGCTGATTAACATAACAGCTGGCTAATTAAGCTCTGAGCTGCTGAACTGACTGGGTCTGTTTCTTGCTCCATGGCAAGTTTACATACCAACAATGAGGGTTCTATGCCTTGGGTCATTCTGCAGGTAGCAGCTTATAAAATCTTGCCATACAGAACAAGTCCCTTCACTGAGATCCTGGAAAGCTTGGTGGGCCGGAAATTCCTTTCACAGATATTTAATGTGTAGAAATGCTTCCTGTAGAGCTAAACATGACCTGCAAATTGCAGCAGATCAAACTAATATGAATATGCAGGGGTGGTTCAAAAGTTGGCAAGCCTCAGCCTAGGGGTGAGAGGGAACCTGGTGAGTATTACCCATGGTTACCATAGCTTAGTCATGGACACAGTTATGGCCAATAAAGGAAAAAGCAGGGTGACGGGAGTAAGTGTGCAAGTATTAAATCAGAATTTTGCCTTTTAAATGGAAAAAAGATCTTAATGGTATCTGACCCGACCTTAAATATGGAAACTTGGAAGTTTGTCTCAGTGGGTTGGATGTCATCAATCTGCTCCCCTCCCTTCTGGTCTTTCAATGTCTAACAGTATCTAACATTACACAAGAAAGCATATACCCAGAATAAAACTTTGTTGGTATTAAAAGTGCCACTGGACTCAAACTTTGTTTTGCTGCTTTAGACCAACACAACTACCCACCTGAAAATATCTAATATTGCTATTCTGAAATATAGGATCTGGCAAAACCTTTTCAATGCTACCGTAGGTCTTTTTTAAAATCCCTCTCTGCTCTGTTATTTTAATATTTTGGTATCCGATTTTATTTTTTATATAATTTAATCTGTTTTAATTGTGATAAATTTTAGCTTTTTATTTTGTTAGCTGCCTTGGGTACAATATATATATGAGTGTTCTAAACACACAAATAAAATAGTTCAAGGTTATTTGTAATGTATTCAGATGCTGCCCTGAATGCATTAGGAGGTATGTGAATCCTCCCATAGAGAAGCCATGCAAAGCTTCAAGCTTCGGCAGGGATTCGCGCCGAAAAGTATTGTGGCCAATCAGATTTGAATGTATGTAAGCGGGACCGCTTATGATTGGTCGTTCATGCACACAACCTGATAGGTTGGTTTAATGTACAGTAGGTGTGGCTACATTAGCCCGGAGTGTTTAAATACCGAGCAGCTGAAATGGACAAGCTGTTCGGGCTATGAGGAGTTGTACCGTGTCAGAAGAAGTCGATTGAAGAGCTGAATAAACTTGAGTTTTGCTGAATCACTCTCTGACTATTATTGTTAAGCACGGACTTAACAATTGGCGACGAGGATGGGATCCAGGAGCGGGTAGGCAGCCCCGCTGGTCCCGACCCAACGACGGACAACCAAGAGCAGCAGCTCGCCGTGGCAGAGCAGCGACAGGCACCACCAGCACCGGTGGCAGCGATCGCAGCTATGGCCAATAGCCCGAAGTTCGAGGCATTCGAACCAGCGACCGAGGACTGGGACGCCTACCTGCTGAGGTTCGGGTTCCACTTCAAAGCGAACGACATCACCACGGAGGAGAAGAAGCGAGCCACCCTCCTGAGCTCTTGTGGCAAGAGCGTGTTCGATGTCGCCAGGTCTCTGGTGGCACCAGCGGACATTGGAACAGTGCCGTTCAAAGAGCTGACGGAGAAGTTGAAGGCACACTTCTCCCCGCAACCGTCGGAGATCGCTAGCCGGCACGCGTTCTTCAAGAGGAACCAAGCGCCCAACGAGACCGTGTCCGATTTTGTAGCGGCTCTACGTAAAGCGGCCAGACCGTGTAACTTCGCCGACGTAGAGGAGGCCCTGCGAGACAGGCTGGTGTGTGGCATGCGGGACGAGCGTCTGCAGCAGCGCCTGTTCGCAAAGGCGAAATTGACCTGGGCCGACGCCTACAATGAAGCCATCGCAGCGGAGACAGCGGACAAATCGACCCGTGAGGTGCGTCAGCGTCTGGCTGCAACAGAGCTACGCGTTCACCACCAGGGGTCCGAAGGAGAGCGTGAGGGCGCGGCTGAAGACGTCTGCGCTGTGAAAGGGCCTGCGAACCAGCGGACCCAAGTGAGGACTTCGCCCACTCCTCCTTGCACCGGCTGTGGCGGCAAGCACTCCAGAGAAAGCTGCTGGACCAAGGACGTCGACTGCAGAGCATGCGGAAGGCGGGGCCACATCGCTCGTGCTTGCAGAGCGCCAAAAGTTTCAACGCCCTCAAACAAGCCCAGGAAGCAACGTTCCCGAGCCGCACAACATGAAACCAGCTGCCAGGTCGTACGATCAAGCGCACCTTCGGTCCAACGAATCGGAGGCACCGGCAAGATCAACGTGACGGTCCATCTAGACGGCGTTCCGTGTGGCATGGAGGTCGACTCGGGATCGTCGGTGACCGTAATTTCGTCCAAGTCATGGCAGCAGTTGTTCCCCACCAGGAGTCGTCGCCGGCTGAAGCCAGCAGACACACAAGTGTCCGACTTCCAGGGCAAGCGTATACCTCTGGCAGGGAGGGATACGTTTGAAGTTGAGTTTAAGGGGAAGCGGGCGACCCTTTCATTGTTGGTGGCTGAGGGGAACAGAGTGAATTTGCTGGGGCTTGACTGGTTTGAACCGTTGGGAATTGCTATTTCTGGCATTAATAGTGTAACGAAGAATAAATGGGCTGTACTGTATAAGGAATTTACTGATGTGTTTGGGGGTGGCCTGGGAAAATATACGGGACCCCCAGTAGCGTTTGAACTTGATCCTGCCGTGAGGCCGGTTCGCCTCAAGTATAGGAAGGTTCCCATTCCTCTTAAGCCCAGAATCGAAGCAGAGCTGGACAAGCTCATCGAGCAGGGCGTGTTAGAGCCAGTTCCCTTCAGTCGGTGGGAGACCCCCATTGTAACCCCTGTTAAGCCGGACGGGTCAGTACGCATCTGTGCTGACTACAAATGCACCATAAAGCGGGCATTGCAACAGCACTCGTACCCAGTACCGGTAATTAGCCATGTCTTGGCATCGTGGGGGGGGGGGAAAGTCTTTGCGAAGTTCGACTTGGCCCAGGCTGACCAGCAGCTTCCCGTGACCAAGGAAGCTGCTGAAGCACAGACCATTGTGACACACAGGGGGGCGTCCAAATTGGAGCCTGTTTACTTTGAACGCCCCCCTGTGTGTCACAATGGTCTGTGCTTCAGCAGCTTCCTTGGTCACGGGGAGCTGCTGGTAAGCCTGGGCCAAGTCGAACTTCGCAAAGACCTTTCCCCCCCCCAACGATGCCAAGACATGGCTAATTACCGGTACTGGGTACGAGTGCTGCTGCAATGCCCGATTTATGGTGCATTTGTAGTCAGCACAGATGCGTACTGACCCGTCCGGCTTAACAGGGGTCACAATGGGGGTCTCCCACCGACTGAAGGGAACTGGCTCTAACACACCCTGCTCGATGAGCTTGTCCAGCTCTGCTTCGATTCTGGGCTTAAGAGGAATGGGAACCTTCCTATACTTGAGGCGAACCGGCCTCACGGCAGGATCAAGTTCAAACGCTACTGGGGGTCCCGTATATTTTCCCAGGCCACCCCCAAACACATCAGTAAATTCCTTATACAGTACAGCCCATTTATTCTTCGTTACACTATTAATGCCAGAAATAGCAATTCCCAACGGTTCAAACCAGTCAAGCCCCAGCAAATTCACTCTGTCCCCCTCAGCCACCAACAATGAAAGGGTCGCCCGCTTCCCCTTAAACTCAACTTCAAACGTATCCCTCCCTGCCAGAGGTATACGCTTGCCCTGGAAGTCGGACACGTGTGTGTCTGCTGGCTTCAGCCGGCGACGACTCCTGGTGGGGAACAACTGCTGCCATGACTTGGACGAAATTACGGTCACCGACGATCCCGAGTCGACCTCCATGCCACACGGAACGCCGTCTAGATGGACCGTCACGTTGATCTTGCCGGTGCCTCCGATTCGTTGGACCGAAGGTGCGCTTGATCGTACGACCTGGCAGCTGGTTTCATGTTGTGCGGCTCGGGAACGTTGCTTCCTGGGCTTGTTTGAGGGCGTTGAAACTTTTGGCGCTCTGCAAGCACGAGCGATGTGGCCCCGCCTTCCGCATGCTCTGCAGTCGACGTCCTTGGTCCAGCAGCTTTCTCTGGAGTGCTTGCCGCCACAGCCGGTGCAAGGAGGAGTGGGCGAAGTCCTCACTTGGGTCCGCTGGTTCGCAGGCCCTTTCACAGCGCAGACGTCTTCAGCCGCGCCCTCACGCTCTCCTTCGGACCCCTGGTGGTGAACGCGTAGCTCTGTTGCAGCCAGACGCTGACGCACCTCACGGGTCGATTTGTCCGCTGTCTCCGCTGCGATGGCTTCATTGTAGGCGTCGGCCCAGGTCAATTTCGCCTTTGCGAACAGGCGCTGCTGCAGACGCTCGTCCCGCATGCCACACACCAGCCTGTCTCGCAGGGCCTCCTCTACGTCGGCGAAGTGACAAGGTCTGGCCGCTTTACGTAGAGCCGCTACAAAATCGGACACCGTCTCGTTGGGCGCTTGGTTCCTCTTGAAGAACGCGTGCCGGCTAGCGATCTCCGACGGTTGCGGGGAGAAGTGTGCCTTCAACTTCTCCGTCAGCTCTTTGAACGGCACTGTTCCGATGTCCGCTGGTGCCACCAGAGACCTGGCGACATCGAACACGCTCTTGCCACAAGAGCTCAGGAGGGTGGCTCGCTTCTTCTCCTCCGTGGTGATGTCGTTCGCTTCGAGGTGGAACCCGAACCTCAGCAGGTAGGCGTCCCAGTCCTCGGTCGCTGGTTCGAATGCCTCGAACTTCGGGCTATTGGCCATAGCTGCGATCGCTGCCACCGGTGCTGGTGGTGCCTGTCGCTGCTCTGCCACGGCGAGCTGCTGCTCTTGGTTGTCCGTCGTTGGGTCGGGACCAGCGGGGCTGCCTACCCGCTCCTGGATCCCATCCTCGTCGCCAATTGTTAAGTCCGTGCTTAACAAAGTAGTCAGAGAGTGATTTCAGAAAACTCAGGTTTATTCAGCTCTTCAATCGACTTCTTCTGACACGGTACAACTCCTCATAGCCCGAACAGCTTGTCCATTTCAGCTGCTCGGTATTTAAACACTCCGGGCTAATGTAGCCACACCTACTGTACATTAAACCAACCTATCAGGTTGTGTGCATGAACGACCAATCATAAGCGGTCCCGCTTACAAACATTCAAATCTGATTGGCCACAATACTTTTCGGCGCGAATCCCTGCCGAAGCTTGAAGCTTTGCATGGCTTCTCTATGGGAGGATTCACATACCTCCTAATGCATTCAGGGCAGCATCTGAATACATTACAAATCCCTCCCCCCTAAGCAAAAACAACTACGAACAATCATAATCACTTAGGTAGGAAGGTGCTCTTCTCGTTCTCTGAGACCTCCTAGGTGGACTAGGCTCAGGGCACATCTCCGTCAGTGGCACTTCGTTCGACTCTGGGACCGCAGAGTCAGGAACACTTCCATCCGTTACGTTCGGTTCGAGAGTAGGGTGAAATGGACAAGCTGTTCGGGCTATGAGGAGTTGTACCGTGTCAGAAGAAGTCGATTGAAGAGCTGAATAAACTTGAGTTTTGCTGAATCACTCTCTGACTATTATTGTTAAGCACGGACTTAACAATATTATAAAAGAATTCTGAAATTTCTTAACAATTTTAAAGACAAATGAGCTGGAACCCTGTTTCAAACTTCGCTCCTGTATTTAAAGTCAGATTCTTTTCTGATGTGGGTAGCAGTGGATGGGGCATTGTAAAACAGTGAAAAACAGTAGAAAAGCAGTAAAAATCTAATATAAGTAGTCTAGTATGCTTCAACATACATAATTCTTGTAATACAAAAATTAGCGACAGAAGCCTTTTAACCCAGGGTACTGGAAGCAGATTTCCTTGAGCAACTGGATAAAAATAATCTCTACCAGTTTTCCTTCTAAAGTGCAAAGACTAGGGACTTACCAATTTAAAAAAAAAATACAAGCTGAAAATTCAAGGAAGAGGTCCCCCATCAAGATTCCCCAGGCTATGGCCCTATACCTGACAATGGTATTTCTTGATAAATTTCACTTTAATGTAAAGTGTTACCCAAAATCTACCCAGGTAGGGTATAATAATGTTGATTGTCTATGGGATGAAGGTGTCCACTGAAGGGTTTGCATTAAACTGTCCCTAACCCATTTTCAGAAAACTTACTAGATCTTCAGTTGACACAGTCCCTTGAGCTGTTTCATTTGTCTCTGGTCAACTCCTCCAGAATTTCTGCTTATTCTAGAATGTCCTTCTATTTGTCACAGAGGGACAGTGGGAGGAATACTGACCTCACAAACTCAATGCTGAAAAGGGCTGTTGTCAATTCAGATGTTAAAAGTTCTGGCAACTGATAATGGATGAGATTACTTCTGTATCCCTTTTGTTAAAGATATGTATCCCATGCCAGGAACTTGGATTGGCTAACAGTGTTGAACCAGAAAAAAACACAAACTCTGAAATAAAAAGTCCAATACAGTAGAAAACATTATAAACTAAAATTGGCTTGTCAGAGCTTATTGCTGGTCAAAAAAGCAATCCAAATGAGGAAAAAGTTTTAATGACACCTCTTCAGATGAATCCAGCTCTGACTTTGGTGAACCTCCAAAGGGGAAGGAAAATTTGTAATGCAGTAGCAATGAATAAAGGCTCATTTCCCCCCTCCTAATGCTTTCGAATACTGCTTGACAGAAATGAAACAGGAACAGTGCTGGATGAAATCAAACAGGATTGAAGAGGTTAGACCAAAATTAAAGGGATTTGGGACCCTCTTTTAAGAATACTATGGGATCTCAGGTGTGGTCATGGCCCTTCCCAGCTCTTTCTCCTGGGAGCCCATAACAAGGTATCAAACCTGGACCTCTTGAATGCAAAGCCTATGGTGTTCCACTGAGCAATGATGATACCAAATAAGTCACCCTCATAGTGGACTCTTTGCCTGGTTCCATGCATGTGACTGGGGAGAGAGAAAAGCTAAGACCTGAGGAAACTACAAAGGTCCCATGTTGGGTTTCTTTTGTACGTCACAGCGGCTATGCAGTAAGGGTGTAGCTCTCTGGAATTAGAGCCCACTGTCTCTCCTTTTTTTTCATCTAAGATTATTGTTGCCAAGAATACACTTTAGCTTACAAAAATCACCTCAGCATTTCCCACAGGCAGGAATCAACCCCACATCTCTGGTTTCCCACTGTGGCCCATTTTCCCCTCTCAGCTATCAGAGCCAGAGCTCAGAGTTGCCTCCTGTGACCTTGTTCACGTATGGTCCATTCTTGCGCGTATGGGCTCCACCCCTCTCCCTTAGACATGGCTATTGTATTAGCATAACAGCATATGTGCAGTTTTGTGGACTGTAGGTCAACTGTAGTGGGATTCAACATCTCCAGGAAATCTCTTCCCTACAGGATCTATGTGGACATTTATGGAGCTAATGGCCACCCTTGAGAGGGAAGGAACAATAGTCCGTCTCCCTGGCAGCCTGCCTATACATTATGTGTGGGAGAGGCTGTCAACTGGATTCCATGACCTCATCTCAGCATTTCTACTGTTGCCATGGTCTGACCAATGGCTAATCTGGAGGTATCGTTGGTGAGTGACATGATTGGACAGAGTTGACAGGGATGCTGTGGGAGTGGTTGTCATGTTGCTAAGTTAGCTTTTGTTTCTACCACTTTCCTTGTGCCTTAGACTTTGTTGCCAGGGGGAGCATCAGATCTTTCAAATGTACATCCGTCATTAACACTGGTATAGCAGCAGTCAGCATACCGCAACCATAAGATTAGCCTATTATTCATTAGCAGGTATTGTAAGAATCAGATGTCACAGGAACATATGAAGTTTAAATTAGATAAGACCCTGGAAGATCCGTGAATGGACTGTGGTGTGTGCGTCACTACTAAATAGCGGCTGGAGGATCCCAGTCTGCATCACAAACATGGCATGGGGAACAA